AAAAGATACTAGACAAAATATGAATATACATATGTACCAGGTCAATTTGGTGAAATATAGGAATGGGGTTTATCACATGGCTGCAAGGATTTATAATGGACTTCCAAATACAATCAAAATAATCTCAAATAATGCAAATAAGTTTAAAGCCAGTTTAAAAGAGTTTTTATTTGTGAACTCCTTTTATACATTGGAGGAATATTTTAATAGATGACAATGGCAACATTATGCAAAGGGTAATTTATATATTTAACTTTTTAATTTGATTTATATTACAAACATATTGACAACTGCTTGATTTATAAGCAAGATGAGTTTATACTACTGGACGATTTATATATCTGTTGGTTGTGTAACTGTGTAAGGATTTTATGGAAAGAATGATGTGAAATTGACCAAGTAACTTCATTTTATCTGTAATAATACTTCTTATCTGATTAGTTGTCAACATTATTATCCATATTACTTATCACCATTATTTTATATTGTATATTGATTACTGTGATATTGTGTAAACTTTTAAACTTCTTTTATATTGCAAACATATTGACAACTGCTTGATTATTAAGCAAGATGAGTTCATACTACTTGATGATTTCTATATCTGTTGGTTGTTTAAACCATGTAAGGATTTTATGGAATGTGAATAAATGAATGAATGAATGAATTATCTTTTTCTTGTTCTATGACTGCTAATTACAAACTGGTAGTATTTTATGCTCAAGTAGTTTTGTGGTTGTACCTCTATTAATTAGCACACTTTTATAAAATGATTGAACTTTCCATGACTTGAGTGCAGTAATACTCGTAGATGTGCTAATATGGAATTAAAATTTCATTTCATTTTATATAGTGGATAACTTTTTACATACAAAGTTAGATTATTTGAATTGTTTTATCTGTTTATTAATTCAAATTATTATCTATATTTATAATTTTTTAAATTGTTACCTTGTAATATTTATATTTGCTTGTTAATCTTATATTTAATTTTGACAAAATCTTTTTATGACTGCATGTTCTTTGACTTCCTCTATATCAAATGGTTGTACCAGCCTGGATTAACAGAAATGAAATAAATGAATGAATGAATCAAACTGCACTGATGGCAAAATTTTTGTATTGCTCTAAACTAAAATGATATATTTCCTAATTTTCATGTAATTAATTTGTTGCCAGTAGGAGTGAGGTTTGAAATAAAAAGTGATGGGAAGTAATATTTAAGTTGGTAATATGATTGTTTCATTTAGGCACAGGCAGTGGGTCCACAATACCAGTGCTGACAACTGTCACTCCACGACCATACTCTACCACACCAAGACCTGCAGCCACATCCCAAAGGCCAATACAGCCCTGCAGGGGGGAGTGTGTGAGTGGTTTGTTTGCCTTGTTCTGTGATGATGTGGATGCTGAAGCCCATTGTCCAGATGATGGGAGCTGCTGCATTACAAATCCTTCCCCTGTTCCAGCAACCAGGTTCCCTGCCACCACAAAGCCAGCTACTCACATAACCACCACCGGCACCACCACTACAAGGTGAGCGGAACAATCCATGAAAACAGTTACTGTGACAAAGTAGTGAACTCACTCATTCATACTTGGGAGATCTTCATTTCAAATCTCCATCTAGAGGCTGGTTAAACTTCATGAAGTCATGAACATTTTTATTAGTCCCTCCGTAATATAATTTTGATAATTTCTTCTTTCTCATTTCATGACATTCCTCTGCTGCTTAGGTATGCAAGCAAATGCTGGGACAGGCCATAACTGCTCCCTTCCACATCCTTTACAGTTCATTATCCTCACCCCTACCAATTAGTGCTATTTATTCTGAGATACTGACAGCCTTTTTATTCAGACCACAAGTCACATGCAGTATATGAATGATTAATATTCCATTTCAGGGTTGTAATTTATCTCCGGATGAATCATGGTAGAGAAAGTAGTTCACACAGCTACCAACAGGTGTCATAGTATTTCACAAATATTATTTAATGATGAAGAATTTTATGTTGAATGAACTTTGGCATGGGCATGTAAAAAGTAAAGAGGTAACTGAATTAGGGAGGATACTTCATTCTTATGTGATGCAGTCATAATAATCCCAGTATTTCTAATTCCCTGTAGCCAACCAAGCACGACATCACAGCCCCCACTACCACGCTGCCCCGGCTTCTGTCTCATCAATATTATGGCAGCGTTCTGTGAACGTCCATCTGTTCTGATAGCCCACACATCCAATTGCCAGAGAGGTTCTGTGTGTTGTGATAACACCCGTGGACATCATAGCAGTGGAGGAACTTCTGGAGTCACATCATCAAGACCTCGGCCAAGGCCCAATCTTCCTGCTACAACCAGTACTACCACCACAACTACACCAGCTCCCCCAGATGACCGACCAGACTGTCCAGGATCTTGTATTGTTCCATATTTGTCTTTCACATGTTTCAGTAAGTTTGCCACCTTGAAAGTGTGTCCACATACTGCATTTTTGTTTGCAATCTCTGTGACTAAATTTGTTATTCCTCCTTATTTTAGAGTTAACAGAAAATGTAGACATGCCCATGAAGTTCGATACAGACCATAAATTCTCCCTTTTATAAATTTGTGGATAGATATTAAAATTCTTTTAAATGCAAAATGCAAAACAACAACAGATTCAGCTAGGACTATTTTAAGGAATAATCTTATATTAAGGAATTCATACAGATAGCATATGAGCCTGTACCAGCATTATATGGTACCAAAAGGCATATTAACATGTTCGCAAGAGCCCGCCATTCATCATGTCTTCTTATCTTGAGCCAGATGAGTCCTCCTCACACCCCCATTTTGTTTCTTGAAGATACATTTTAATATTATCCTTTCATCCATGCCGAGTTCTTCAAAATGATCCATTCTCTCCAGTTTTTCTGCAGAAACTTTGTTTATATTTCTCTCTTTCCCATTCATGCTGCACAGTCTGCCCATCTCATATTCCTTGATTTCATCATTCTAATAATATTTGATGAGAGGTACATATTATGAAGCTCCTCATTATGCAGTTTCTTCCAGCCTTCTACTACTTTGACCCTCCAAGATCTATAAATAGTCCTCATAAAACAATGAATTACAAAAATGCATGAAATGTTTGAGCTCTGTACAGAAGGTGACAGCTTCTGTATGATTCTTGTTTCTGTTGTGGTGTAGGAAATGCTGAGATGACAGACCTGTTCAGGTGTCACAAGTTCGGAACCCAGTGCTGTGCTCCGAAAAGTATGATCCGTGAGGTACTGGACCAGAAGCACGGGGGCAGTGCTCAAACTAGAAATGAGACAGTTTCACCTCATTATCGACCATCAGCACCGCATTCATCCTCCGCTCTTTTTCCTGGTGAGGATGCATCTGAAAATGTCCATTTAATTCTCCATCTTCAAGATCTCCTACCCTGAAGATGGAGGCAGCAGGTTTATCCAGGATGTTGGTATCTACTCATATACCAGAGAACATGACCACATACCTGAGAAGACTGCAATTTTCTGAAATGGTTTGCCATGCACTGAGATGTTCAAATATAAATAATTGTCTATTTATGTTCTATAAATTTGATGGTAAAGCACCATGAATTGCAGAAACAGAAAAGTAAATAAGGTTAAATTATGAATAATACTGTTTTTTTGTATTAGATATCATGCAGTCCACTAGCTGTCTATATCTCATCAGTTGCTTGCTGTAGTTAGTTTTGATTGTGAAAATGGAAGTGACATGATCCCCTGAAATGTTGATGTACTTCTAGCAGACTACACACAGTCCGTCACATGTCAGAAGACAGTTATCCTCATAGTCAACCCCGTGGAAAGGTTAATTCTGGTCTGAAACAGAGACCGGGAGCTGAGTTAGACTTCACGCTGGAGTTACAGCTCAGTTTGATTGAACTGACACAGAAGATTCTAAATGACAAACAGCAACTTGATAGATAATATAAATGCAGAGATAAAAGTAATATAATTGTTTTTCTCAGGCATTTCCAGTGTATATGGGTCAGCCAGAAAATTTTTTCTGCGTTACCAAAGCTGCTCTTCCTGCATTTGTTTCTCCTTGTTTCCTCCTCCTGTGGGACATCTTCCATATTTCAAACAAAAGTAACACTTACTATGGAGTTGATATTCTCATGTTTATGAATATGGAGTTCACTGTCCTCTGGGATATGACACAGTGGAGTGTGGTTAATATCAAACTGCATTGTATCGTATCCCAGGCGATTGTAATCTTCGAAGGTAATGATGGCAAATTATTCAGGTATATAAAGTGAAAGTGTTACTTTGCAATTGGTGTGTGGAGGAAATTGAAGCCAATGTCCTACTCACATTTATATATCTTTTATATGTAATAGTACATTAGTCCTTCTGCTTAATGCCCAGTCCTACAGAGATAAAGTCTATGCAATATATGTAAAGGCTATATGAAATTTTGGGACAGTAGCACTAATTTTTCAGGTCTTTCACTAGGTAGTTCCACGACCACCCGACCACCTGTGTACAGCAAATATGTGTGCGGAGTGAAAGGGACAGTTCGTAGCCGGGACAGGCAGGGTCGTGTTGTGGGTGGGGAAGATGGCGAGCCAGCAGAATGGTGTTGGCAGGTGGCACTCATCAACTCGCTGAACCAGTACCTGTGTGGTGGTGCCCTCATTGGCACACAGTGGGTTCTCACAGCTGCACATTGCGTTACTAAGTGAGTACCACTCCATACTTTTGTGGTGGCGGCCCCAGTCACATGCACTGGGTTCTTTCATAACTTTCCAGCACACTACTTGACATAACAACACTTAAAACAAACTTCATAATTAATGCCATGTCATTCTGACATGATTCCTTATGCAGGAACCAGCATCTTGGTGTAGTGGCTATATCTGCTGCCTTGTAATCAAGAGAACCTAGTTTTGAATCTTGATCTGGAGACTTTATTTTCCTCAGTCTTGCCAGACAAATTCTCTGATACTCTGTCCATATATATGTGACTTACAGTTTCTTTTCCATGTCCTCTTCAGTTCTTCACTGACAATATTCCTTGTCACTTGACATCGTGTAATCTATGTGTGAATCTGAACAGACTATACCACTGTCATCTGCTTTGTGTTCTAGCATTGTGCGGTCGGGAGATGCCATCTATGTACGTGTCGGTGATCATGACTTGACACGAAAGTATGGCAGTCCTGGTGCACAGACCCTGAGAGTAGCCACGACATATATCCACCATAACCACAACAGTCAGACACTGGACAACGACATTGCACTACTGAAACTGCATGGTCAGGCAGAGCTTAAGGATGGGGTGTGTCTTGTGTGTCTGCCAGCAAGGGGTGTGAGTCAGGCAGCTGGTAAGAGGTGCACAGTCACAGGCTATGGGTACATGGGAGAAGGTAAGCAGCAAGTATACAGTACTTAGTACTGAACTTTAATTGAGATTAAATTCATATGATTGTGGTGCAACACAGCATTTAAGCCTTTACATGTATACTTATGTTAAAATTGTTAATGGTTAATCACTTACTGTTGATAGATGGTATCAAGTCTGACAGACTTTCAGATAACCGTATATATGTGCTCATTTGTAGGTCATAGGAAGAAGTGTTGTGGATTTTTCTGTTCAACTGCATTTGCCCCCATGCAGCCGTGACATTTATGAGCCAAGTATTGACAGTGAAAGGTTAAGTCTGTGCTGTATAATTTTGTTTATCATCCCAGTCATCCTAACTTTTTATATGAAGGTCACACCATTTTTTCAGAAAGCTGTATTTCTTATTTCTGATGGAAAGGGCATGAAGATACTCCTATCTTAGTTAGTTAGTTAGTTATTGGAGAGGGTGGGTTTCCCCATGCACTGAGACCTGTATTGGTCCATTGTGCTTCCCTCTATGATTTCTACCAGTCTCTATATCCTACCGGTACTGGTGCTTACCATCAGTCTCGCCCAGCCAGCGAGACCGGCTCTACTAGCTGAGAGGTATCTATAATGCTTCCCCCATCTACCAGAGGTATTGGAGACTGCTGTTGGGCGGGAAACGTCTGTTAATTTGGCTCAGTGACCTCCTTAGGAGATATGAGGTTCCTTTACGTGCCGTAAAGCTACGACTCGGGACCCACGGCTTAAAGTCCCTCCCGGAGGACTTGTTTCCTGAATTTTTCCGCCCTTAAAAATTCGACGACCTCCGCAGGGTATTTGAACCCGCGTACTACGAGTCATGAGGTGGGAACGTTACCTCTAGACTATGGAGGCCGCTTACTCCTACCTTACATAGAGCTACTTTCATAACCTCGACCTAGTAGCCAGACTGGGTCTGACAGACATTCTGCCATCTCTATTCATGACCCAGTTCCATTTCTTTGCTCTCTGCTTCCTTACAAATCTCTGTTTATATTGCTTTCTTTATTATTCATGTACTTTTCTCTTCCTGTGTAATGCTGATTGCATCCCAGTTATTGAAAGCACTCCTGTGCTTACATTTCAGCTGGGCCAATCCCACTGCGTGTTAGGGAAGCTGAAATTCCTATTGTCAGTGATGCTGAGTGCATCCGCAAGATCAATGCTGTTACAGAGAAGATATTTATCCTACCAGCAAGCAGTTTCTGTGCTGGTGGGGAGGAAGGCAATGATGCCTGTCAGGTATGTTATGGGATAAGTGGGTATAAAGGTTCTCTAGGTTTTGGATTGCAAGGAGAAGCAACCATTTTTTGACTCTAATGTGGATGTCACCCACGTCAATTTCACTCTATATACCCCCTCATTGGTGTCTGCACCTTATCGTGGTGAAGGGGTTTGAGTATGCCGAGGACCCTGAGAGCTATACCAGCGGTAGTGTAGCTACTGGCAGGGCCTCCCTTGCTGGACAGGTCAAAGGGTAGGCATCAGACGAAGAGAGACACCAAAAACCAAAAACTGATGCCAGAAGCAGTGTCATCAGCAGTGACTTGAAGCACAGAGCAAATGATGCTTGAGATGATTCAAGTTCGTATAGCAACAGGTGTGACCAGAGTGGTTTGAACGGCTGTTGTACTACGATGTGGAAAGCAAATGCAAAACTACCACATTATCACTTTTCCTGGATAGTCTCTTTCCAAAAACAGAGATACCATGACAAAACAAACTGGAGGAGCAGATAGAAGTGCCCAGAAGACGAGGAAGAAGACGTAAGAAGATGCTGGATGACCTTGGGGACAAAAGAGGATATTTTAATAGAAGGAGAAAGTTTGAGATTGCATTAAGTGGAGGAACTGTTCTGGAAGAGACTATGGACCTGTCATCTGACAGATTACTGATGAATAAATACTAGCTCACATTTTAAAGGAGTAGTGTTCTGATGTATTCAGTGCTAGAATATATAGTCAATTTCATGCAATATATGTTGCCTAGAAATTGGTTCTTGCATTAAAGACGTTATGGGAGATTGAATCCCATCAACAAAGTTTTTCTTTCATGTATAATACGAAGGTCAGTAGAAGTCAAATTGCCCTCATGTAATTTAAAACAAAAATTTATAGTAAAAATTAATCACATAATTTTCTTTAATGTGATACAGAATGCTTATAAACAATGTGTCCAAATGTTCAAGGCAGTGTTTTCTATGCAGTCCACCCCAAAGTTATATGAAGATTTTATTGGGGTGAGGCAGGGTCGAATACTTCCAGTGTATCCCTGTGAGTCGTAGAAGGCAACAAAAAGGAACCAAGTGCCAGGGGTTATAAGTGGGTCACCTTTTTCCTGAAGGATATGAATATGGGGAACTGGCCCTCCACCTTGGGCTAGTTTCGAGTATGAGACAGTAAAATGTGGCCATAATTCCTGTGGGACTTGGATCCAAGAATGACTGCACTGGCAAAGGCCAGCAGCAATTGTAAATGACAGACATATTCTCTCATCAGAGAGGATGTTACATATGAGTAAGCACTATAACTGCAAGCGTTCTGTTTTGAAAAATTTACTGGTCATGGGTTTCAAGGGGCTTGGAGCCAAAATGAACAGATTGGCAGTAATCTGCTGGTTGTAAAGTAACTCTGAATCTGACTTTGAGGAATTAAGAGGGGTACAGACACACAGAGAGCAAGGTGATCTCATAGGCCTCTTTTTATCCCAATATGAAAATTAGACTGAAAAACTGGAAATGAGTGTTTTAATCTTGTGCAGAAACTTACTGAGATACTTGTACATTGCTTTAAGAGCCTTAGCTGTCCTCCCAACACACACAAAATCCCATATAGACAGGAGCCCCCCCCCACACACACACACACACACACACACACACAAATGCATGCATGCACTGGATGGAAAGCCAATGAACACTTATCCATATGAAATGCAATAGAGTGTAAGTCTTAATGTCTTGGTGTCAGATTTAACATAGACAGATATGAATATCTGCAGTAATTGGCATTATGTTAGGAACCAATGGCATTAAATGGCCAGATGTCCCTTCTGTGTTATTACCTCTTGAACTCAGCAGAGAAAATCACCAATAACAGGGACCTCTGCTTTCTGAATTTCTCCAGTGTCAGTAACACTTTATATTACTAAATTGAGGCCACAGGAAGTCACGTTGATCGAACCCCTCAAGTTGTTATGCCACCCCATTCAACATATTTCCCTTCATTACCTTCCAGTTGTCTGACCATTCTGGTCGCAAGAAAGCTGGTAATGAGAACCACGTCATAATCTTTGCTGTAACAAGTACTTTGGCTTGTTGACATAGGTCAAAGCAGTTGGAAGGATAAACAACATGCACAGAGTTGGAAACCTGGAGCACTCTTACATCATCATACATGGGGCTTCTTTCTGTTGCCTTTTGTTGGGGTAAAATGTTTGAGCTGAAACAGTGGTGTAATGTTGACACTTTTAACTTTTTAAGAGCTGAATGTTTGTTACAGGCAGTAGCAAACGAACCATCCTCTAATTATTGGAGCCACAATGCTCAATGAGCTTGTAACTCTGATTCTATAGTTCTCTTTAACCAATTGCTCTCGTCAGACTGTGGTTTTCTGGATTACGACGCCATCTGACGTTTTGGAGGAACATGCCTATTCCATCTTCAGGATTGAAGTATATAGGTTGGGGAATTGAGTCTGTTATACAGCAAGGTGGTCAATAAGACCCAAGGGTGGGGTTAATAAAACAGAGCGTGATCTGGGCCTGTGGGATTATAAGACACGAAGCAACCCTTGTAACGGGAAAATTATACTCTTTGTCACAGTATGAAAATGGAATTTTAAGAAATGATGGTTAGTATCCTCCTGTAAGACTAAGTGGTCTACAACCCAGAGAACCACAACTTAAAAATGATGACATTGATAACCCAAAAACTGAAATAATTCTCTTGGTAGAACAAGAAGCCTGTTTACACTCTACTGTGTATAGTACCTTGCCAAAAACCTCACTACGTTCTCCCACAAGTACATGAGCATCACGGTTTAATCTATGTTATGATGAATTATCTACTCTAGTGCAGGATTGAGTCATTCATCTGTTCAAGACTGATGATAAGTCTAAACTGTGATTCACAGGGTGATGGAGGTGGCCCCCTGGTCTGTCAGGACGATGGATTCTACGAGCTAGCAGGCTTGGTGTCATGGGGCTTCGGTTGTGGAAGAGTTGATGTGCCAGGTGTCTATGTCAAAGTATCGTCTTTCATTGGGTGGATCAACCAAATCATCAGTGTGAACAACCTGTAGGGCATGCCCTTGGTGATAGCAACAAGAAATTTTATTCACTTGTAATACAAACCTGGGTCTCCCAATCAGAAACTGAATGAGACATGCTGATGAGCTTAGATTAAATTATTCAGCAACTGAGCCCAAAGATTCAGCATCACAGAAGTCAAATTTGTTAGAATATGACTCTGAGCCAATCTAGTACACTCCATATTCTCCCCATGTGTTTCATTAAGATACATTTTAATGTTATCTTCTTACTCCATCTGTCTTTTGAATAGTCAAATCTGAGACGACTCCCCATGTGGTCTATGTGCCCAACCAATTATGACTTTCACTTAAATACCAAACTATTATTTCTATGGCATATTTCCATAGGGCTATGTTACATTGTTTTATTTATAAGTTATTTATATTTTAATTTTTAATTAATATGTTTGTGAAACCAGTTAACTGTCTGCTCACTAACTTCACATTTAGGGAGCATGCAATGGGCTGAGGATGTACATGAGATGGAGAAGCATGAAATACAGGGTGATTCAGAAAGATGGACACAATTTCAATTGGCTATATTTCCTGAATTATATGTTGCATTTGAATTCTGTAAATTGATTATACATACATGGAAGTTTATAGATGTTCAATGTCCCCCCCTCCTCAGGCTGCACAAATAACATCTAGACGGTAGCTGAATTCATCCTACACTCGATGACAAATATCTTGCGTCACTGAGTTCACCGCAGCTGTGATACAGTTTCTTAGGTCATTCAAATTTGTAGGAAGAGGTGGTACACGCCACACAGTTGTTTGCGATAGACCAAGTTCTCTACTAGCACTACGGGTTGACTTCATTGGGCTGCGTTCAAAGTTCACTCGAATGCACTCCACGTTCTCCTCCAATACACGCGATCGGCCCGGGACGCAGTGATGGAGGGCACTAGCGGTAGTACTAGAAACTTTGTAATATCCTCTTTCAAATGTACTTTACAGAATTCAAATGCAACATACAGTTCAGGAAATATAGTCAATTGAAATTGTGTCCATCTTTCTGAATCACTCTGTATATCCTGAGTGTTTTGGGGGGGATCTTTTGGAGATAACTTGCTTCAGACTGTGGAATATAAAGACAATAATGCTCACAAGAATATTACTTAAGAGGGAAATGGTGTAACAGATCTAGCTGAAATGGCTTATGTTGAGTTCAATAATTGGCATCTGTGTGAGTGGTGCAGAGTCTCGCGTTCCTAACTCCAGAAATTGTTGCCATTGAGGTTAGACTCACAGGAACATCAAAAAAGATTCTGGTGTGTTTTGTTTTGAAGAATATGACACAGTTATAGAAAAAGATTTCTGTTAGTAAATGTGGTTTGTCATTCGAAACACAATTCTCTGGAACAGAGTAAAATCTTTAGATATTTATTGTAACTACACCATGTTATATTTATTTGAAAATTATGATCATCGAAACATCCTTCATATTTTTTCAATCTCTTTTTGTTTAAAGATGCATGAGTGATTCATTAAACTTATAAGTGAGGCTGCAAGCTGGATTGAGATGGGAGCAAAGTAAGCATCGAGATACTGTTTAGTACCTGATACACTCCTCACAAAAAGTCTGAAAAAAGAGTTTTCACTCTTGGATGACAAACCAGATGGCATATTTCCCCTCTCTCTTACCCTAGAACCAATGGACCATCTGATAAAGTAATTTCTGATGGATCTTTCAGAATCCAATCTCCCTCATGCTTACACACTGGTTAATATTGCACGTAATTTATACATGTGTCAACACATAGCACTAACTTCTCAAATATTTTCATTTTCAAAAATTTATACTAGCAAAGATGTTTACCTCATAGGTGTTGATTGATGAATTGATTTAAAATTGGCACATGTGCACTACACATCTTTGTGACTGTCAGTAAGTTAAATAATATGAAAACAAACTTAAGCCTAACCTGATCTAAATGTGTTCAGTTTTTTGTAAGATTCTGAGTGGAGAAACTCCAGACTCTGTAATTGCTAATTCAGAGGCTTATCAATTTGATTGGTTCAACTGCAGCATTTGGCTTGGCCATCAGATGCTTCAATAGAATGCATTTCATTTTCCCTGCCCACAGCATACAGGAAAGCTGTGTAGTGACTCATCTTACATTTCTTATGTGGGTCATATAATGGTATCATTAACTAGACTAGATTGCATCAAATGGTAGGATGATAAATAAAAGGAGATTTTGAAAGGATTTGATAGAAAAGGATCATGACTTTATCAAGGTATTATCATGGCATTTGCTTGAAGAGCCTTTGAAAAATACAAGTGAGAACTCAGTCAAGACAGTCAGTGTCCTGGACAAGATTTGAACCAAGTACATACCAAATACAAGCTTAGAGCCTTACCATTATGCCAGTCTGCTCAATGTATCTTACTTTTTATGGGAAGGACATGTTAAAAGCTTTTACAAGGGCATTGGTTAATGTCAGTTTCTCCTGGCAACTAGCAGGATGGTGTGTTACCACTTGTTGTGAAATGAGAATAAGCTTTCATTCACCAGCAAATCATTTTCTCAGGTTATGGTTGAAAACATTTATGAAAACAGCAAGAAAAATATATGGATTGAAAGGGAAACATGCTTTCTTGCCCTCCAAAATTCGTTACAAAAGACTCTGACATGATCCAAAACTTAATGCCCAGATCTGGAATTTGAATCTCAGAAGTTATTTAAAATTTCAATTTTTGTGTAAGTTACAATAATCTTCCTGACTTATGATATCAAATCCGAGGTTTTTGTTGCTTACATTTAGCCAGAGGATATGGTATTCCTTGTGTCCTAATATTTTACCTTGGAGAACAAACCCTTTACCTTTTGGCTCACATTAATTGCCATTTTTCAGGCAATGTAATACTCGTGGTCTTTAAATTTGGCTGCCAGGCCACTGAATGAGGCATGTAAATTTGGACATAACCTAACAGATTAAACTGAAATATAGAGTTCATAAGGTATTAAATTTAAAACAGTAGGCACATACATATTATTCCAGCATTCTTTTCAAGGTGCTGTAGAAAACAATCATGATTTCTGAAACTGCAAAGAAAAGGAAATTTTATGAAGCATATTTTCTATAATTTATCATTTGGTATATTTCTGTTTTTGATGTTGTCAGCTTGTGAATGAAACAGCTGAAAAAACAACAGACAATAATGAAATAGAGGCTTTTATAAGTTACCAGTGAGAATGACATACATTTACAGTAGTTAGTGTAGAGGAAGCAATTAACACTGTGCAAAGAAGATGGTTTTGAGTCAGAGTGCAGATAAGTTTCTTGTTGCTGTCACATTATATATTAACTAGTTCTAGGTGGAGTAATGGCAGACAGCTTTAAGTGCAATTCCCTCAGTCATGTGTGCCATAAACAGAATAATGTAGTTATGTATTGCATTATCAGATTGATTGATGGAAAGATTCTATAAATTGCCATTTATTTTTTGTTGCTACATAAAACTATTCTCCTAACAGTGTAGACAAAAAATATGTTGATGGTAAATGAGAAATATAAATATTTCTACCCTAGGCAAAATCCCCAAAATCATTTACAGATACTCAGTATTCTCCAGTGATATTACTTTAGCCTGTATGTTTATTAACACAAAATGAACCAAAGCACTTATGTTCTGAAAGAATTGCAGGCTGTCTGAGATTGTTATGGTATGAGTGAAGGTTGTAATTTTCTCTGTAAATAACACTATTTTTTAACTGTGGTTGTTAAATCTTTTAGTGCAGGATACATTTTCTCTAAGATATGTACAGTGACTTTGTTCAATTTACGAATAGAACAACTGGAAACACACCAAATGATCAGTGCATACCACAGGATTTCTGTAGGAATCAGCATTTTGTGTGAAGTGATTAAATGTTTCCTTTAGTACAGAGAAAACCATAATTTTGCCTGTGGTTCTGTATGGGTGTGAAATTCAGTTTGTGATATTAAGGGAGGAACATAGGCTGAGGGTGCTGAGAAGAATATTTAGAGAGGGATGAAATGACAGGGGATTGGAATGAGGAGCTTCATAACTTGTACTCTTCACCAAGTATAATTACAATGATTAAGTCAAGAAAGATGAGATGGGCGGGGTATGTAGCATGAATGGGGAGAAGAGGATTGCATATAGGATATTGGTGGGAAAGCCAAAAGCAAAGAGACCACTAGGAAGGCCAAGATATAGGTGGGCGGACAATATTAAGATTGATGTTAGAGATATAGGATGGGATGGTATGGACTGCATCGACCTGGCTCATGATAGGGACCAGTGGAGAGCTCTTGTGAACATGGTAATGAAATTTTGGGGTCCATAAAATGCTGGAAATTTCTGAAGTAACTGCACAAATGGCGGCTTCTCAAGAAGGGCTCAGGTCCTTATGTAAGTAAGTAATGTTTCCTAGTGACTACATTTTTTAATGCATTATGTAATATGAACTGGATAGGCACTGGTTTAAACTTAGTAGGCCTCCTCCTCCTATCCCCAATTTCTACCTGTGTTACCTCCATTACCAATGCAGGAGAGTGTATATGGGGGCTGAAGGTTCTTCTGAACCGTTGGTGCCTATGTACAAAATTACATAGCATCATGTACCACACCAAACATGCTTATCTTTCATATGCTAATATTTTGAATGAGATTTGAGATTCGTATAGTGGTGACTATGAGGAACTTCCACAACCAAGGTAGAAGAGTGACTTCTCTCCCAAATATAGACACAACATTTGTACCAGAGCCTATAAGGACCTCTCTCTGAAGACAGTAATTTTCAACATTCTCGTTCTTTATAAAAGAAAAAAAGAAAAGGTACAGCTATCCCTGTAACAGGCCATGAAGGCCCATATGGGTGTGAGACATTGAGGCTCCCACATTTTCTAGACAATCGGCTCACAGATGGCGAGAAGTTTGTCAGCCTCATGCGCTGAAGATTCCTGCTACTTGTTTCTCTTAGAAGCTGAGTCAACTCCAGGGCTATACTGAGGCAGGAATTATTAGGTCAATTGAAAAAAAACCCACTAATCTCATCAAGAATCGAACCCGCGACCTCCTGGCTTGTAACATAGTGCCTCAACGAACTATGCCACTGCATGTCCTGCTTATTCTTTGTAAAAGTTGAAACTTGAAGCTATTCCTGTAACAGGCCGTGGCAGCCCATAGGGTTCTGAGAGGTTGAGGTCCCCACATTTTCTAGACAATGAGCTCACTGATGGATGTTAGGTCAGCCTTATGCACAGGCTGCTCTTTACCCAGGAAGATTCCTGGTACTCATTTCTATTAGAGGATGAGTGAACACGAGGATCAGAATGTGGCTAGAAGGATTAGGCCAATTGAAAAATTCAATGACCTCATCAGAAATCTTACCCGCAACCCCACGGCTTGTATTATATTGGCCCAACCAACTATGCTATCACATGCCCCCCTTATTCTTTGTGCCTTACCTAACTGAAGAGTTTGATTCAGGAAACCCACATTCCTGGAATGACTGCAGAATTCTCATACTTGTTTCCCAAGAATGTCAGTCTCATGAAGGGATGTGTAAGTGCTTGTATTGTTTGGTTGAAAAGAAAAGTTTCCTGTATGATATGTCTTACTGTTAAAAGGTAAAAAGGTAAAGTTGTCACTGTGCTCAGCGAATTAAGCACTATGCCATGAAGGCATATGGGGGACTGGATGTATAGATCCACTTTTCTAGACCTTGCCACTAGCTGGAGGTAAGTGGTCAGCTTCACACCCTTGCTGCTTTAACCCCAATGAAAGAGCCCCCGGTACCACTTGGATAGGAGGGTGGGTGAACCCCAGAGCCTGTTTGTATCATTTGGAGAAGAGAAAATTCTTGACCTTACTGGGACCCGAACTCCGATCCCTCAGTTTTCCAGCCCATAGCCATTCCCTATACCGACTACGCTACCCAGGCTCCTGCTTCTCATTGTTTCTGTATTTATATGCAATTATTACATAGCTCGTTGCTGACAAAATGTTGCACCCTCCAAATGCTTCAGCCTCAGTTCTGTGTAACTGTAGTGTGAACTCTGGACCCTGTGGGGGGAGCAAACAGAGGACTCCACACTTGAGACACAGGAGTGCAATGTCACACCTCCCTCAGCTGATGCAGCTCAGATTGTATAGAGTGACATTGTGGGATAATAGAGCATATAAATTGGAAATGTTTAAAAAGGGATTAAAGAAACCATAAAATATGTCTGGATCTTCACTCTGCAGAATTAGGGTTGAACCCAGGATCATCTGACTGCGAAATGGGAATTGCTAGGCACTCATCACCATTGCAAAAAGGCTTCCCATGTAAGGAGAAACTTACACGTGGCAAAATGTGTCAAAATGAAAATTATATAATTTGTGGCATTATTCTGATTGGATTGCAGATTTTAAGCAAAGAATATTTTGGTTATTAAAATACACATAGTACTGGGTCCACAGAATAATATCCTTTGTCATAATTATTGTCACATGATATATTAGTAAACCTTTGTGTGTTGCTTAATTTGTGCCAATATTAGTTTCAGTATTCTTGTGTCTGCTGCAGGCTTCATACTGAAATTTTACTGATCTCTCAAAAAAAGCTTGGCCATAGTCTTAATATTGTACATAAATTCACATGAACTAGTGCATTTCCTGGGTTAAATGAAAATGCTCATCAAATTTGTGCGCAGTATGATTGTGATCAAATTTAGAAACATGATTGTGGCGAATTCATGGTCTTGTAATATTTTCTGCACTTGCAATGTTCGTGGAACTTTCGCAGAACAGCGCTGGGAATCCTAAAACGAAAATTATATCATAGGCTGTGAGAATAACTATGTCCGCAATATCCCCACTAGCGCCGTTACTCAGTAACTCAGGTACCATGTCTACAAGCCCACATTTAAATGCCTCAATCAACGGTGTCCGTTTATCTTAACATTAGCGTCCTTACTTAGCAACTCGCGTACAACTGCTATGTGCCCCTTTTTAGTTGCTAGAAGCAATGGTGTCCGTGCTTTATGATTTTGTTTATTACGACAAGCGCCGTTACTCAGCAACTCGCGTACTGCATCTACATGCCCTCTTTTAGCTGCTAAATGCAACGGTGTACACCCCGTACAACTCGCAATATCCGCAATAGCGCCGTTACCCAGCAACTCACTTACTATTTCTACATGGCCACTCCCAGCCGCTAAGTGCAACGGTGTCCGTTTATCTTTATCCGCAATATTGGCACATGCGCCGTTACTTAGCAACTCCCGCACCACCTCTGTGTGCCCCCTTTTAGTTGCTAGAAGCAATGGTGTCCGTGCTTTACGATTTTGTTTATTCAAACTAACGCCGTTACTCAGCAACTCTCGTACTGCATCCACATGCCCTCTTTTAGCTGCTAAAAGCAACGGTGTCCGTTCACGGTAATCCGTAATATCTGGACTAGCTTTGTATCTCAGCAACTCCCGGATCACTTGCGGGTACCCACTGTCACATGCGAAATGCAGTGGTGTCCATTTGTAAATGTCTGCAAAATTCACCTTGGCACCCTTACGCAACAACTCACGCACCACCTCCACGTGCCCATTTCCAGATGCATGATGCAACGGTGTCTGTTCATATGTATCTGCAGGATCCACGCTAGCGTTACTACGCAGCAACTCACGTACCACCTCCACGTGACCACGTATAGCTGCTAAATGCAGCGGTGTCCGTTCAGATTTTTCCGAAATATCCACCCAAGCACTCTTACCCAGCAACTCATGTACCACCTCCACATGCCCCCTTTTAGCTGCGTAATGCAACGGTCCTTTTGAGTCAGCATCCCCAAGATTGACATCAGCGCTCTTAGTCAGTAACTCACGTACCATTTCTACGTTTCCCTTTTTAGCTGCGTAATGCAACGGTCCTCTTGCCTCATTATCCACAAGATTCACATCAGCTCCCTTACCCAGCAACTCACGTACCACCTCCACATGCCCACTTTTAGTTGCCACAAGCAACGGCGTCTGTCTCTGCCGATCCCATTTATTCACATCGGCCCCGTTACCCAGCAACTCACGTACCACCTCCACATGCCCACTTACAGCTGCTACATACAGCGGTGTCTGTCCAGCACCACATCTCTTCTTCACTCTAGCGCCCGCATTCAATAAATCACGGGCCACATTTACGTACCCCATTTTAGCAATTAAATGCAATGGTGTTACTCCACTGTTATCTGTAATATTCACATTAGCCCCCTTACTCAGCAACTGTTTCATTATTTTTGAGCAGTTGTGGTCCCTGTCCTGCCCCTGTTCTCTTTGCGCCATCTGCTCTTGCATTGTTGCTTTCCAAGTGACTGTATGCCCACTCGCGTGATCAGGAATGTTCCAACTGCTCAGTTGTCTGGCCCTCCACCTGAAAGCATAAAGTCGCATAGCATTTTTGTTTCAATGACCCTTTCTGGGACAGTTATGGGTCCCGGGTTAACGGACTACGTAACGTAGTGGCTGATCTGCAATGTGGCACCGTGAAGTTTATTGCGGAAATAGTATGTGGATGTGTGAGGGAAGTATGCAGATGTGGTGTTGAGAAAGNATTGTGCTTCAGATCCTTTCGTATTTTCGGTTGCGAGCCGATATCAGTATTTGCTTAGAGAAATGCGAAAGCGAATTGCTGAGGTGAGCGTGGCTTCGCATTTACTGCGCATATCTTTCTTCAGTCTTATTTTATTGAGCGACGCAATTTCAATTACATTGGTTTGATATGGCCGAATGTTAAGATAACTGCGAGCGAAGAATTGGAAATGACGTGAAAGGAGGCGCTTCGTTCTGTTTCTAAAATTATTTTGCTTGAAGAAACTGAGGAAGACGACGGAAGTCCATAACATGTCGCCCGAGCATCGAACCGGTGAATGTGAGAGGAAGAGCAACTTAGCGACGATCATCACGATATTTACAGTTCTGAAAAGGATGGATATTCTAAGAAAACATTTTGTATTAATTGGAGATGAGATAGCTCAGTCAGTATAGGGAATAGGCTACGGCATGACTAGTGGAATTACGTAATCTACTTTATGAAAGAGAATCCCTGTGGATTGCATACTTTACCTGAATTTTAAAAATTAGTTTAAGACTGACTGGACGACCGATGTGCCGGTGTTCCATTCCCCTCAGAGCCAATAGATGTTTGAACTTCTCATCGTCTACACTCCTCTGAGACCCACCAAGTCTTTGTAGTAGGTGTTTTGGGGGGAAATATCTCCGGCCTGTAAAGCTCACCTCCATCCACTGATGATGTTTAGCATGGGTCAAATATGCGCGATTTTGACTTGGCTCCTTAGCACTTAACCATTTCTCTCTATGAGCGGTCTTGAAGTTGCTCCGTAGCGCTTAACACTAGCCTCTATAGAGTTCAGAACAAAAAAAACCTTGCTCAATGCTCAACATGTCAGTACACATATACAGTTGCAAGCTTGCTCTGTGTTCAACATGTCAGTACAGATATACAGACGCAGCTTCCTCTGTGTTCAACATGCCAGTACACATATACAGATGAAACTTGCTCTGTGTTCAAAATGTCAGTACACGTACACAATCGCAGCTTGCTCTGTGTTAAGCATCTGGTCTCAAGTCCCAGATGAGTGCTTCATTCCAAGACAGACTGGCCGACTGACCGTCGGTCGTAACATAACTTTAACAATGTCAGTGAATCCCATGTGGAGGCGGGGTCGAATTCCTTCACCGTAGCCCTGCGAGTCATAGGAGGCGACAAAAAGGATGTCTCGAATCTGAGACAGTAAGATATGGTTCCGAGTTCCACGGACTCGGATCTGAAGATAACTGCGCTGGTGAGGGCCAGCAGAAATTGTAAATGAAAGAACCGCGCTCTCATCAGAGGGAGGATCCCACATTAACAAATCCCAAATTGTCTGACAGTAATAAATATCTGGTCGTAAGACCCAGAATGGTGCTTTATTGCAGGACACACTGGCCTACATAAGACTGGAGTCGACAAAATTTCAGTGGAGAGATAATTCGGACTGGGAGCTGCCAGAGTCCAGAGAAGTGAAGAGAGAATTGCAGTTAAGAAATTTCACGATAATTGTTGAGGAAAAAATGGCAAGAAGACTTGACAGCAACTTTTAAGATTGTTAGAGTTATTCATAGTTAAAGAGTGTTATTGTTTTGGCGATCTTTCAGAGAATTATAATTGTTTGCAGTTACGACTTGAAGTTATCCAATAAATCGATTCAACAAATTCAGAACCCCGTATTTACTGTCGCGTTACCAGGATACACTTGACAATATTATGCAGAAATCTTGTGCTTCAGTTTCCTCACATTCCAGACTTTCCCCAGCTAAGACAGAATTAGCAGGCCAGTGCTTCTGAAACAAACACCGTGCAAGATTGCAGCAAATGTCACACAACGACTTACCTTTGTATATATGGTGCACCTATATTTGTATGGAAACCTTCATACTTCTGTGAATTTGTGTCTACAAATATATAGTCGACCCTAATGTTTGGACCGTGAACAAAACCTTTATTCCGAGAGAGAAACCTCTCGAATTCTGCAGTAGATGACAGGAAATGTCGCACCACAGGATAGAAAAACAGCTCTGCCTCTTGTTACCGAGTTCGCCCAGAGACAGTTACGTGGCAGAGTGAATATTCAGCAGATGTGAGTGCACAAGATGTCTGATATCAATAAGCCGATATGAGAGCCGTAAAATTCCACTACTGATAATACCTCGAGAGGTCCAAATTCCAAACTGATTAAACCATTCGTAGATCTACCTACAGGCTTTCTGAGTGGAGGGAAATCTCATGATGAACCATTACGGAAACCTTTTTAGCGATGGAATTTCACAGTTTCATATTAAGTTATTGATATCAGATACATTTTTGCAATCAGATGTGCTTCATTAATCAACGACATCATGACGTATAGGTCACTTCCCTGACAGATGGAGTCAACGAATGTGACTTGAGACCCAGCCTCTTTACCCCCAGGGAGATGTCCCCATCTACCCAGTTGATAACAGGCTGGGTGGATTCCGGAAACAGTCGGAATGCTGCGAGGTGAAGAGAATCTCTTGCCCCTGTCGGGAATCGAAGGAACATGCCTAGGGTGACCTAAGTGGATATGATCAATTTGACAGAATGAAGATGGGAGAGTTGAGGCTGGATTCATCTAGCTCAGAAGAGGGACCAATGGAAGGATTTTGTGAACAGGTTAATGAAGTTTCAGGTTTGATAAAATGCTATGAGTTTCTCGAGAAGCTGAGATAATGTCGGCTTTTCAAAGGGACTCGTTTCCATGGAGTTCAGTGTAAATATTATGTCCTCAGCTGAAGTGAAAACAGTATATTCACCTTACAGGAAACATGGTTAGTGTTCTGTAATTGGTTTGAATTATTCGTACTTCGGAAAAAAAAGTGGACAATCCATTCGGACCATTCAAGTACAGGTTTCTTGTGCATGATGTGTGCAGCTTGCTCATTGAAACAAACAATGGGATTAGGATAACTACAGGCTCTCTCACCTAGATCCGAAGGAGACACTAAAATACAAAAACAATAAAAATACACACTTACATAGACGGTGTCATTGAGGAACAGACAGAAGCCCTAAACTTGCCTCTAATCTTAAGCAATTTATGAATCAGCTCTACATGTATGTGTATGTTGGTGTTGGTTTACCACAGGTGGCGTAGAAATATATGGGAAACAAAATACCTACAGGATAACGAAAGGGAATGACACAGTCCGTGATCCACTGAGGTAGTGCGTCTCTGATTACTTAGCAGTTCTGAAAAATGTATCAGTGTGTCATTTAGTCACATATTTAAAAAGTTCATATCTCAGAAAAAGTAAGAACCTCATTAATTTTAAACCAAAGAAAACAAACTGACAAAATTATGTCTCTGTGCCTCAGAGCTGCAGTTTGGGTCTCCTTTCCTCTGAGGATTGGCTCTCCAGAGTTGGTCCATCGGGTCAAAGCTTACTCTAATTGAGTCCGGCAGTGTTGGCAACCCTTCTTGTTATCAGGGGGATCGAAATGAATCCTGGACCTGGAAATGTTGACATGAGTGACAAGGTGAGTACAGCCCAGTGGGGAATATCATCAATTGAACTGTAGTTGAATGCAGTGTTACATGGTTTAAGAGCATATCTGAATTCTGTGTATACTTTGCATGAGGTCCTGAAATGATAATGATGATGATGGGGAAGTTCTCATTGTCAGTGTCGTGGCCTGGAAAGCGAAACTTGTACCAGGGAACCTCCAAACACATCACAGGTGTTCTGGCCACTTGACACTCTGTTCATGTTTCAATATAATGTAAGAAATGTGTGCCACTTAACCAATAATGGTGTCGATGCAACAGATGTATTAATTCTCTTAGTGAAATTCTGTAATGGGAAAGTTGATTTTCTTGTCCATTTTTGCAGTCAAATGAAACATATGGCGATTCCATACAGCAAATTAACGACAACAACGACGACAACAACAATAACTACAATGATAATATCAACAACAAGAACAACTAATCCCACTACAGAAATAGGTTGTCCTATTGTGTAGTTTAGAATTGCAGGAATTATTCAAGGATTGGAGCAGGGGCTTGGTCTGGTTGCAGACATGGGAGTTCCCTCCCAACTCTGGAGATCCAGAGGATAATTACGACACATCAGTCAGGGTGTCCTGTAACAAGCGCATTGAGTTTTGCTCGTATTGTCGTGCTCGGTTTTAGTTTCAAGATTGAAGCACAAAATGCAGTGGCACATGCTAGAATTCTGACAGGTTGCGCGGTAGATGCTTTGCCTGTGACGCAAACGAAACAACTGAAGACCACTCTTAACACGTTGCAGTTGGGTTCATGGAAACCACCGCGTATCTCGAAATCGCGCAAAACGGGAAAAGCAGTAAAATAAGGCTGTGGTCCTGTAGAGGACATGTAGCAGGCGATGTGACTACTGAAACTGGGTGATCCAGTCAGGGAATTGGGGCACACCACTCACTGGGCATGCGCGGCAGCTTCCCCCGTGTCCACGGATAGGACAGTGATGCTTCATATAGCACTGGAATATTGCCGCTGATTACAGAGGCAGAGTAGCAGAATGTGCTTGGTGCACAAGGTGACAACATGCATTCATGAAGCAACAGCAACAGCATTCGGAGTTTATTTACAATGTAACAACACAGATGTGTACAAAGGGTCAACAGAATTTTATATTGATTCATAAATTTTATTTTACTGCACATAAAAATAAATGAAACCCTACAACTCTGGGCATCAGTTTGGGTACATAATGTCAAAACTGGTGTTGTCTTGGCGCGGTTCAAACGTAAGAACTTATGGGGTGGAATTTACGTGAAAAAAAATTATTCGACATGAAGATTATTGTCTTCCGGGATGTGACGCAGTATAGTCTCTCAGATCGTTACCAAAATACTGTTGGAATCGGCTGCATACGTCTTGAACGTGTAAGGCCAAGCCCAGGGTATATCCCTATTTCACCACGTTTGTCTTCCTTATGTACCCTGAAGATGGATGCAGAAGATTACCTCGAAACTTTACTAACATCCAACCAGCCTACTCAGTGTCACATGCAAGACGACACAAATCTTCTTTGTCGTCGCCAAGGCAACCTCATAGCCACAACTCGCTGTATTACAACCCATCTTTGAACTCAGTACAGATTTCCGTCTCGCTGAACGGTCCAGCATGTACTGTGACAGTTCAGAAGTCGGGGATATTGGAAGCTCTTTAAATAAATCCTTCATAAAGGTAAAGAAAATGTTCGCTACGCCAAAAATACTTTTAGCTCCCAGTTTGACGTCTGTACCTACCGAAATATTGGCGGCAGATTGGCCACAGAGAGTGTATGTGCACACAAGTCGTGTGACAGTTGTGATTATATGGCATGCTCACAGCATACGATTCCTATGCAGTGCACTAAGAATATATATTTCATACGTAGACTTATCTCAGAGCTATCACATATTTCAATATCCCAGTCTGTTGAAATGTATATGTACCATAGGCACACGTCATGATATAGAATCACATTCTGGAAAATTATTACAAACTACAATCAGTCCTCACTTCTGTCCCCGAATGTACACTATGGCAGCTGCAATGAAGGGTCTATAATACCTAAATTAACGGGGGTCTCTGCAAAATGGCGTAACGTGCTCTCAGATGGAAGATAGATGAGATGACGTCACAGTACGGAAGGTAGCTGCTGTAACCAGACGCGAGCAGCCTTGTCGGGCGTTTTGGCGGCGGCCTAAACAAATTTTCAGCACGAAATGCTAGGTCCACATAGAGGTTGAATTGTTGGAATTGTTTCAACAGATGGAATTTATAGCGCGGTGTTTGTTACGTAATTTTCTCGTCAGTTAGGATTTGAGAAACCTGAAACTTATCCGTTGTTATTGTAAATATAGATAACTTCGAGAAAAATACGGGGAAATTAAATGAAATTACACGACGACCGTTTCCTTCCATTTCCATTCCAGTTTGTAATTCACGGAACTCCAATTATCCATCTCCTCTTATGTACAATAACTATTCAGAGCGTATTCTCGGGTTATCGTGTTCCTCACAGCAATAACACATGCGGTTTGAGTGCGTTCACTCTCAATGAACGTTATATATTACCTGTTGGGATGTTACGCCGTGTAGTTTGGTATGGATTTACCAACGATTAGGAGAAATGTGGTGACTCCATCTTCAGGTTCAGAGAGTAAGCCGAGAGAGAAGGCGCTTCTTTGTTACTTGCTCACTCGGCGGGTTACATGAGACTTGATTCCTCGGAACAATCGATACACTAATACCAGACTACACGGCGTAACATGAAAGAAGATGTAGTCCCCGAAGTCACCGCTGCGAGAGCCTGAAATCTCGCAGATATTTGGTTATGTTTTTAATAATATCCTGAAGATATGTTCTATTTCGACGAAAGCAGCAATAACAAAGTACATTCACGTCAGTTTGAACACAAGGGAGAACAAATATGAAACAATGGTACCCACAGTGTACACGTATATGTCTGCATTTCACTCATCTTGTCACTTCTGTGAGTTCTCTCTGCTTCACTTCCCCACAGGAACGCACTTAATTCGAAGGAGTGCAATGCGTATAAATGTAAATTTTGTCGAAACCATGCTTATTGGCACAATTAAGTGATATTTTTCCCCTTCCGTTTCGAACCACAGTATACACAGGGTCCAAATTACAGCTAAACCTCCGGATAATGGCCCTTTAACGTGCTCAGTGTAATATACTCGTATCTAAACATTGGTAGCAGCAGATTATTCAACAAGGATGAAACCATAAAACGTGAACATTCTGACCTGCGGTACTCAGTGCTATTCAACTGGGATGGGAACATACATCAACATGCGCAGTGAAGCTACAACCCAGAAATTCGCTGACGAAAATCACAGACCCACCACCACTTGTTGATTTAATGCTATCCCTTCTGCATTATCTGCAATACCCACACAAAGTAAGTGCCCTTACACAACAGCTAATGTCGCAACAATACATGCTTCCTTCAAACTAATAATTCCAACAGAATTCGCCACAGATGTCCTGTAACATTTCAATTAGCGGATATACTCAAAAACTCAATACAATATTTACATGTCCACTTTCAGTTACTAAATGCGAAAGTGTCCGTTCATCTCTATCTGCAAATCTCATACGAGCTCCCTTAAATAACAACTCACATATCGAAGTTACCTGCCCACATTCCAGCTGATACATGCATCGGTGTCCACACTAGCGCCTTAATTCACCAACTCACGTATTACCTCTACATGCCCCCTCATAGACGCTAATAGCAACGGTGTCCGTCCACCTTCGTCCGCAACATGCAAACTTGCGCCCTTACTCAGCAACTCGCGTACCACCCCCACATGGCCACTTTCAGCCGCTAAATGCAACGGCGTCCATCCGGCTCCATCTGTAATACTCACACTTGCGCCGTTACCCAGCAACTCGCGTGTCACTTCTACATGGCCACTCCCAGCAGCTAAATGCAACGGTGTTTTCATGTCTTTGTCCGCAATATCCACACTAGCGCCGTTATTCAGCAACTCGCGTACCACTTCTACATGGCTACTTTCCGCTGCGAAATGCAACGGTGTCCGCTTACCTTTGTCCGCAACATCCACACTAGCTCCGCCACTCAGCAACTCGCGTACCACCTCTGCAAGCCCACTTTCAGCTGCGAAATGCAACGGTGTCCGCTTACCTTTGTCCGCAACATTCACACTAGCGCCGTTACTCAGCAAATCGCGTACCACTTCTACATGGCCACTTTTCGCTGCGAAATACAACGGTGTCCGCTTATCTTTATCCGCAACATCCACACTAGATCCGCCACTCATCAACTCGCATACCACCTCTGTATGCCCGCTTTCAGCTGCGAAATGCAACGGTGTCCGCTTACCTTTGTCCGCAACATTCACACTAGCGCCGTTACTCAGCAACTCGCGTACCACTTCTACATGGCCACTCCCAGCTGCTAAATGCAAGGGTGTCCATTTATCTTTGTCCGCAATACCCACACTAGCGCCGCCACTCTGCAACTTGCGTACCACCTCTACGTGCCCACTTTCAGCTGCGAAATGCAACGGTGTCCGTTTATCTTTGTCCGCAATATCCACACTAGCGCCGCCACTCAGCAACTCGCGTACCACTTCTACATAGCCACTCCCAGCCGTTAAATGCAACGGTGTCCACTTATCTTTGTCCTCAATTTCCACGCTAGAGCCTCCACTCAGCAACTCACTTACCACCTCTAAATGCCCATTTTCAGCTGCGAAATGCAAGGGTGTCCGTTTATCTTTGTCCGCAATATCCACACTAGCGCCGCCACTCAGCAACTCGCGTACCACTTCTACATAGCCACTCCCAGCCGTTAAATGCAACGGTGTCCACTTATCTTTGTCCTCAATTTCCACGCTAGAGCCTCCACTCAGCAACTCACTTACCACCTCTAAATGCCCATTTTCAGCTGCGAAATGCAAGGGTGTCCGTTTATCTTTGTCCGGAATATCCACACTAGCGCCGCCACTCAGCAACTCGCGTACCCCCTCTACATGGCCAGTTTCAGCTGCGAAATGCAAGGGTGTCCGTTTATCTTTGTCCGGAATATCCACACTAGCGCCGCCACTCAGCAACTCGCGTACCACTTCTACATGCCCAAATTCAGCTGCCAAATGCAGCGGTGTCCGTTCAAATTCATCCGTAACATTCATACCAGCGTCCTTGCTCAACAACTCACGCACAACCTCTACATGCCCAGATTCAGCTGCCAAATGCAGCGGTGTCCGTTTATCCACACCAGCGCCCTTACTCAGAAACCGAGACATGAGATCGGTATCCTCATGCTCAAGTTCACCTTCAGAATTTATATTTAATTGAAACAAACCTTTTTCTAATTGATGCACTTCTGTTAGCAACATAGATACAATTTCCACTTGCCCACATTTAGCTGCCAAATGTAACGGTGTCTGTAACTGACAGTCACAGACACCGTTCCATTTGGCAGCTAAATGTAACGGTGTCTCTGACTGACAGACACAGTTTAGTACCTTAGTTCCCCTACTCAACAACTGACGTACCACATCTGCATGCCCAAATTCAGCTGCCAAATGTAACGGCATCTTTCCATATTTATCTGCAATATGCAAATTTGCGCCTTTTCTCAGCAACTCACGTACCACCTGTATATGCCCATTTTCAGCTGCTAAATGCAACGGCGTCCGTCCGTCTTTCTCTGCAATATCCACACTAGCTCCGTTACTCAGCAATTCACGTATGACTTCCACATGCCCACATGGAGCTGCAGAATGATTATTTTTCTGTTTCTTGCCATCTAAAACCTCCAAATTAAATAACCCTCCCTCGAACTCACCTATCACTGCTTGATGCCCACTCTTAGCTGCTAAATGCAACGGTGTCCAACCCATAGCATCCGCAATATCCACACTAGAACTCTCTTTCAGCAACTCACGTACCACCCCTACATGCCCATTTTCAGCTGCTAAATGCAACGGTATCCGTTTATTGACATCCGCGATATCCGCAATAGCGTCCTTACTCAGCAACATACGCACCACATCAATATGCCCATATTTGGCTGCTAAATGCAAAGGTGTTCGTTCATTAATATCTGTAATATCCTCAATAGCGTCCTTACTCAACACCTCACGTACCATTTCTACATGCCCATAGATAGCTGCTAAATGCAACGGTGTCCATCCCATAGAATCCGCAACATCAGCACGAGCGCCCTTACTCTGCAACTCCTCTATCACCTCTGCTTGCCCACGCTCTTCTGCTACAGTAAAAGGTGTCCGTTGATGTTTATCCATAGCATTCGTATCACCGCCCTTGCTCAATAACTCGCGTACTACTTGCAAATGCCCATATTCAGCTGCCAAATGCAACGGTGTCCGTTCAAATTCATCCGTAACATTCACACCAGAGTCCTTACTCAGCAACTCACGTACTACTTGCAAATGCCCAAATGCTGCTGCTAAATGCAACGGTGTCCGTTTATCTTTGTCCGGAACATCCACACTAGCGCCGTTACTCAGCAACTCACGTATCATTTCTACATGACCAATCCCAGCTGCTAAATACACCGGGGTCCGTTTATCTTTGTCCGGAACATCCACACTAGCGCCGTTACCCAGCAACACGCGTATCACTTCTAGGTGGCCATTTACAGCTGTTAAATGCAACGGTGTCCGTTTATCTTTATCCCGAACACCCACACTAGCGCCGTTACGAAGCAACTGGCGTATAACTTCTACTTGACCATTTACAGCTGCTAAATGTAACGGGGAACATTTATCTTTGTCCGGAGCATCCACACTAGCGCCATTACTCAGCAACACGCGTATCACTTCTACATGGCCACTCCCAGCTGCTAAATGCAACGGTGTCCGTTTATCTTTGTCCGGAACATCTACACTAGCGCCATTACTCAGCAACAGGCGTATCACTTCTACATGGCCACTCCCAGCAGCTAAGTGCAACGGTGCCCGTTTATCTATATCCGCAATACTGGCACATGCGCCGTTACTCAACAACTCCCGCACCACCTCTGTGTGCCCCCTTTTAGTTGCTAGAAGCAATGGTGTCCGTGCTTTAAGATTTTGTTTATTCAGACTAACGCCGTTACTCAGCAACTCGCGTACTGCATCTACATGCCCTCTTTTAGCTGCTAAAAGCAACGGTGTCCGTTCACGGTAATCCGTAATATCTGGACTAGCTTTGTATCTCAGCAACTCCCGGATCACTTCTAGGTGCCCACTGTCACATGCGAAATGCAGTGATGTACCTTTGTAAAAGTCTGCAAAATTCACCTTGGCACCCTTACGCAACAACTCACGCACCACCTCCACGTGCCCATTTCCAGATGCATGATGCAACGGTGTCTGTTCATATGTATCTGCAGGATCCACGCTAGCGTTACTACGCAGCAACTCACGTACCACCTCCACGTGACCACGTATAGCTGCTAAATGCAGCGGTGTCCGTTCAGATTTTTCCGAAATATCCACCCAAGCACTCTTACCCAGCAACTCATGTACCACCTCCACATGCCCCCTTTTAGCTGCGTAATGCAACGGTCCTTTTGAGTCAGCATCCCCAAGGTTGACATCAGCACTCTTAGTCAGTAACTCACGTACCATTTCTACATTTCCCCTTTTGGCTGCGAAATGCAACGGTCCTCTCGCGTCATCATCCACAAGATTCACATCAGCTCCCTTACCCAGCAACTCACGTACCACCTCCACATGCCCACTTTTAGTTGCCACAAGCAACGGCGTCTGTCTCTGCCGATCCCATTTATTCACATCGGCCCCGTTACCCAGCAACTCACGTACCACCTCCACATGCCCACTTACAGCTGCTACATACAGCGGTGTCTGTCCAGCACCACATCTCTTCTTCACTCTAGCGCCCGCATTCAATAAATCACGGGCCACATTTACGTACCCCATTTTAGCAATTAAATGCAATGGTGTTACTCCACTGTTATCTGTAATATTCACATTAGCCCCCTTACTCAGCAACTGTTTCATTATTTTTGAGCAGTTGTGGTCCCTGTCCTGCCCCTGTTCTCTTTGCGCCATCTGCTCTTGCATTGTTGCTTTCCAAGTGACTGTATGCCCACTCGCGTGATCAGGAATGTTCCAACTGCTCAGTTGTCTGGCCCTCCACCTGAAAGCATAAAGTCGCATAGCATTTTTGTTTCAATGACCCTTTCTGGGACAGTTATGGGTCCCGGGTTAAGGGAATACGTAACGTAGTGGCTGACCTGCAATGTGGCACCGTGAAATTTATTGCGGAAATTGTATGTGGATGTGTGAGGGAAGTATGCAGATTTGGTGTTGAGAAAATCTGTCTCTCAGCATACCTGTGAGCAAGTCTGTTACGAATTGAACTGTTTCTGCTGATTTCAGCTCTTGCTGAAACTGAACGTTACACGAAACATTATGTGAGAAGTGAATGTGTTCCAATATTTGAGGCGAAAAATAAATGAAAATTTGTGATCAGAGTGACACAGCCTTCTGCGGAGCGCATATTGTGCTTCAGATCCTTTCGTATTTTCGGTTGCGAGCCGATATCAGTATTTGCTTAGAGAAATGCGAAAGCGAATTGCTGAGGTGAGCGTGGCTTCGCATTTACTGCGCATATCTTTCTTCAGTCTTATTTTATTGAGCGACGCAATTTCAATTACATTGGTTTGATATGGCCGAATGTTAAGATAACTGCGAGCGAAGAATTGGAAATGACGTGAAAGGAGGCGCTTCGTTCTGTTTCTAAAATTATTTTGCTTGAAGAAACTGAGGAAGACGACGGAAGTCCATAACATGTCACCCGAGCATCGAACCGGTGAATGTGAGAGGAAGAGCAACTTAGCGACGATCATCACGATATTTACAGTTCTGAAAAGGATGGATATTCTAAGAAAACATTTTGTATTAATTGGAGATGAGATAGCTCAGTCAGTATAGGGAATAGGCTACGGCATGACTAGTGGAATTATGTAATCCACTTTATGAAAGAGAATCCCTGTGGACTGCATACTTTACCTGAATTTCAAAAATTAGTGTAAGACTGACTGGACGACCGATGTGCCGGGGTTCCATTCCCCGCAGAGCCAATAGATGTTTGAACTTCTCATCGTCTATACTCCTCAGAGACCCACCAAGTCTTTGTAGTAGGTGTTTTGGGGGGAAATATCTCCGGCCTGTAAAGCTCACTTCCATCCACTGATGATGTTAAGCATGGGTCAAATATACGCGATTTTGACTTGGCTCCTTAGCACTTAACCATTTCTCTCTATGAGCGGTCTTGAAGTTGCTCCGTAGCGCTTAACACTAGCCTCTATAGAGTTCAGAACAAAAAAAACCTTGCTCAATGCTCAACATGTCAGTACACATATACAGTTGCAAGCTTGCTCTGTGTTCAACATGTCAGTACAGATATACAGACGCAGCTTCCTCTGTGTTCAACATGCCAGTACACATATACAGATGAAACTTGCTCTGTGTTCAAAATGTCAGTACACGTACACAATCGCAGCTTGCTCTGTGTTAAGCATCTGGTCTCAAGTCCCAGATGAGTGCTTCATTCCAAGACAGACTGGCCGACTGACCGTCGGTCGTAACATAACTTTAACAATGTCAGTGAATCCCATGTGGAGGCGGGGTCGAATTCCTTCACCGTAGCCCTGCGAGTCATAGGAGGCGACAAAAAGGATGTCTCGAATCTGAGACAGTAAGATATGGTTCCGAGTTCCACGGACTCGGATCTGAAGATAACTGCGCTGGTGAGGGCCAGCAGAAATTGTAAATGAAAGAACCGCGCTCTCATCAGAGGGAGGATCCCACATTAACAAATCCCAAATTGTCTGACAGTAATAAATATCTGGTCGTAAGACCCAGAATGGTGCTTTATTGCAGGACACACTGGCCTACATAAGACTGGAGTCGACAAAATTTCAGTGGAGAGATAATTCGGACTGGGAGCTGCCAGAGTCCAGAGAAGTGAAGAGAGAATTGCAGTTAAGAAATTTCATGATAATTGTTGAGGAAAAAATGGCAAGAAGACTTGACAGCAACTTTTAAGATTGTTAGAGTTATTCATAGTTAAAGAGTGTTATTGTTTTGGCGATCTTTCAGAGAATTATAATTGTTTGCAGTTATGACTTGAAGTTATCCAATAAATCGATTCAACAAATTCAGAACCCCGTATTTACTGTCGCGTTACCAGGATACACTTGACAATATTATGCAGAAACCTTGTGCTTCAGTTTCCTCACATTCCAGACTTTCCCCAGCTAAGACAGAATTAGCAGGCCAGTGCTTCTGAAACAAACACCGTGCAAGATTGCAGCAAATGTCACACAACGACTTACCTTTGTAAATATGGTGCACCTATATTTGTATGGAAACCTTCATACTTCTGTGAATTTGTCTCTACAAATATATAGTCGACCCTAATGTTTGGACCGTGAACAAAACCTTTATTCCGAGAGAGAAACCTCTCGAATTCTGCAGTAGATGACAGGAAATGTCACACCAGAGGATAGCGAAGCAACTCTGCCTACAGTTACTATGTTCGCCCAGAGACAGTTACGTGGCAGAGTGAATATTCAGCTAATGTGAGTGCAAAAGGTATCTGATATCAATAAGCCGATATGAGAGCAAAGAAATACCACTACTGATAATACCTCGAGAGTTCCAAATTCCAAACTGATTAAACCATTCGTAGCTTTACCTACAGGCTTTCTGAGTGGAGGGAAATCTCATGATGAACCATTATGGAAACCTCTCTAGCGATGGAATTTCACAGTTTCATATCAAGTTATTGATATCAGACACATTTTTGCACTCAGATGTGCTGGATATTCACTTTGCTCTGGTGATCTTGTTAACTGTAGCCTGGATCTACTTCTGTTTTCTGTTGTGCGACATTTCCTGTCATCTGCTGCAGAATTCGTGAGGATTCTTTCACGCTATGAAGGTTTTGTTCACAGGCCAAACTTTTATGAATTCCAGTTCACAGTCCACATGAAGGCTCTCAACAGGACATCCCAGTACAAGTGGATGACTCGTAAGTAGGAAAGCCATTATTTGCCTTCTGTTGCAGTCTTGTTCAGTTGTCCTCTAATCGTGTCCTATTTGTAGAATGTCTGGAAAGAGTGGAAAACAAAATAGCCGACTTTTCATTCTCCTTCAGCCTACACAGGCCTGTGCCACTAATCATCACATAGCATTTATAGTCTACAAGATTACTCTGTTCAGCACAAAATGGGACATGACATATGGTTGCTGGAGGGTTTCCACTAGACCATTTCAAATGAGCAGAAGTGAACATATTTGCAAGCTACTGAAGTGCAAAAGTGCTTCATTAATCACCACGGCATCATGATGTATAGGTCACTTTCCTGACAGACGGAGGCAAGGAGTGAGACTAGAGTCCCAGCCTCTTTACCTCTAGGGAGATGTCCCCAACTACCCACTTGGTAGCAGGCTGGGTGTATTCCAGAAACAGTGGGAATGCTGCAGAGGTGAGCTGAATCTCTTGCCACTGCCTGGAATCAAAGTTTGATGCCTGGGTCTCTGGTATAACGGCTGCACTCTCCAGCTAGTGTCAATGAAAAACACTGAAAATTTTGTCTGTGCCCTCTCCTTTCTCAAATATGCAGTTTGCCAGCATTTATAATATATAAGCAGTTATTTTTTTTTGTTTCTGGTTCTGTGAGAATAACAAAGATTTTGTAGGAATATGCCTAGGGTGACCAAAGTGGATATGGCAGGATAATGTTAAAATCAATTTGACAGTATGAAGATGGGAGAATTGAGGTTGGATTTATCTAGCTGAGAACAGGGACCAGTGGAAGGATTTTGTGAACAGGTTAATGAAGTTTCAGGTTTGATAAAATGCTATGAGTTTCTCGAGAAGCTGAGATAATGTCGGCTTTTCAAAGGGACTCGTTTCCATGGAGTTCAGTGTAAATATTATGTCCTCAGCTGAAGTGAAAACAGTATATTCACCTTACAGGAAACATGGTTAGTGTTCTGTAATTGGTTTGAATTATTCGTACTTCGGAAAAAAAAGTGGACAATCCATTCGGACCATTCAAGTACAGGTTTCTTGTGCATGATGTGTGCAGCTTGCTCATTGAAACAAACAATGGGATTAGGATAACTACAGGCTCTCTCACCTAGATCCGAAGGAGACACTAAAATACAAAAACAATAAAAATACACACTTACATAGACGGTGTCATTGAGGAACAGACAGAAGCCCTAAACTTGCCTCTAATCTTAAGCAATTTATGAATCAGCTCTACATGTATGTGTATGTTGGTGTTGGTTTACCACAGGTGGCGTAGAAATATATGGGAAACAAAATACCTACAGGATAACGAAAGGGAATGACACAGTCCGTGATCCACTGAGGTAGTGCGTCTCTGATTACTTAGCAGTTCTGAAAAATGTATCAGTGTGTCATTTAGTCACATATTTAAAAAGTTCATATCTCAGAAAAAGTAAGAACCTCATTAATTTTAAACCAAAGAAAACAAACTGACAAAATTATGTCTCTGTGCCTCAGAGCTGCAGTTTGGGTCTCCTTTCCTCTGAGGATTGGCTCTCCAGAGTTGGTCCATCGGGTCAAAGCTTACTCTAATTGAGTCCGGCAGTGTTGGCAACCCTTCTTGTTATCAGGGGGATCGAAATGAATCCTGGACCTGGAAATGTTGACATGAGTGACAAGGTGAGTACAGCCCAGTGGGGAATATCATCAATTGAACTGTAGTTGAATGCAGTGTTACATGGTTTAAGAGCATATCTGAATTCTGTGTATACTTTGCATGAGGTCCAGAAATGATAATGATGATGATGGGGAAGTTCTCATTGTCAGTGTCGTGGCCTGGAAAGCGAAACTTGTACCAGGGAACCTCCAAACACATCACAGGTGTTCTGGCCACTTGACACTCTGTTCATGTTTCAATATAATGTAAGAAATGTGTGCCACTTAACCAATAATGGTATCAATGCAACAGATCTATTAATTCTCTTAGTCAAATTCTGTAATGGGAAAGTTGATTTTCTTGTCCATTTTTGCAGTCAAATGAAACATATGGCGATTCCACACAGCAAATTAACAACAACAGTAACTACAATAATAATATCAGCAACAACAGCAATTAATGCTACTACAGTGGGAGCCCATTTGCTTTATGAGAGTACATATGAAAAAGTAACACTGAATAATGATAGACACTGTTATTAAATTAATTAATATTATGACTCTATAGACAAATAAACTTCTAAACAAATTGATCTGAATAATGTGCCTTGGAATTATAACATAAGACAGCAGATAAATAAGAAAGAAAACTTCATTAAGTCTGCATCTTGAGTGTTGCAAGTAACATGCATCATATGGCTCTTTATCAAGGCAGTGTTTCCTACTGAACATGCTGCTGCCGATAATGTATCTTATCTGAATACCTAGAGAAGGTGCTGGAAGCCACCATCCTTATCTCTGTAAGCAACCACTGTGAATGCAGCCATATTTTATACTTGGATATTTAGTGTCACTGAGGTTTTTCCTGGTTTTCCTTAGGCCTTTGCCTCCATGTGTGGTCAGTACTTCAACCACTGAATGGCATTTTCTCACCTCCTTCTAATCTGATGCTTCTCACAGCAATTACTGCAACTGATATGACATCATTAAAGCCTGCTAGTCAAATTCAGTGCATTATATGTATATGTTTAAAGAGATCAGATTGTTCAGGCAGCTTCAACTTAGCGTCAGAATATCCAGCAACTCCCTCCCCCTGCTAAACAGATCTCTGCTGACTGGGTTACACTCCCCATGCACTGAACAGACTTCACACTGACACAGCAACTCCCTCCCCCCACTAAACAGACCTCTGCTGACTGGGTTACACTCCCCATGCACTGAACAGACTTCACACTAACACAGCAACAGAACCATTACAAGTGCAACCCGATGCCCCCTTGACCAGGGTTCAGGTTATGTGGACTGAGTGAGGTTTGAGGTTTCCATAGCCATGTAGATACATATTGTTGCTTTCTGGGATATGACACAGTATAGTATAATGTGTGGTAACCAATGTCTCAGACCAATATTCTGCTTCCATCATCAGTGTAGAACTGTCTTTTACAATGTACATGAGAGCAGCTTATTCCCTTGAAACACTGAACCAACCAGACTGTAGACTCCATTGTGTGATATCCCAAAAGACCACGATTCGATTCCTAACTGGACGTGTCCAAGAGTTTTGGCATCACCACTCTCTCATCCTCTCAGTGTCATTCCCTCCAGCCAATCATAAATAATCATCATGCTATATCATTCAGTATTAATCATACTCTGCAGCAGAGCCAGTAAGAGCACCACATTCACACAAACACTGCACCAGAGGCTGCCTTTATTTTGTTAGCTTACTCTCAGACTTAAGGACAAAAGTTGCCTTATGTGATCACTGTCCTGTGTGGATATGCATGTTCATCCCAGTATTCATATGTTGGAATGCTGTGACCCAATTTCAGAACTTGTTATGAAAGTTTTGTCATTAGGAGCTATCCATTTGTCATACTATGAGTACATAACCCAGATATGGATGAAAGTACTTCTAGGAAATTTTTGACTTTTATTTGTGCCTCTGTAGTCATTACAAAAAAGAATAATCATACATGAGCAGCCTACTGCTTAACACAGACTGCAGAGGAAACTAGGATCCTGCTTACAGGACATCACAAAAATATGAGAGCACAAATTACTGCTTAATAAAGACTGCCATATGAAGACCATGAAGTTCTGTTTACTTCAGTGCTTACTTTCTGAATCTAGGTATTCAAAATTTGGCATGGAGATGGATCTTCACTGTGGGTTGTATTACAATGCTGTCAGCATCTTAGACTGTTCGGCATTGGATGTTGAGATGGTTAGTGAATAAATAACTGTTACGCAGTTGGGAGGAGACAGTCATCCCCTAATGAACATACACTCTTATTATTTGCCTAGATAGGCTTAGGGAAACATTGAAAACCTCAGTAAAAATAGAACAGTCTCCAGGATCAGATTTGCAGTCATGTATGCTCAAATACAAATCAGCCACCCTGAATACTCAGCCACAGAGCACAGTTGGGTTCTGTATATTGCAGTACCAAGGTAATGACATATACAGTCAGCATCTCTTGCCTCAGATGCCCGAGTTGGTGCGCTGGGCAGAATAATGAGCTATTGATACACTGCAAGAGACAGTCAGGATAAATGTTGGTGATGTCCATAGTAGCGGCCACTTAGCAGGAGATAAGAAGGGCACATGTCAGACTTTTGGACACTTTGGGTTTGTAAATGGGTAACATTTCTGATCTAGATAGACACTCAAGCAAGAGTCGTAATTCTCTCATGTCCATCTCAATAAACTGTCTGTCAAACTTATATCTGTTGTCATTAACAGCAGCAGAATTCAAAGCACCATGCTTTAATTACAGGTTCACCAGAATGCCCAGACAAATGAACTGTACAAGCCGACACCTTCATTTGCAGACACTATGGGGCAAGATTTCGAAGCACAAACAGCAGCTCTACTCTTCGCACGAGGAATCAACACTGGTCAAGGTTTCCATCTTGCTGTCAACATGGAAGCTGGAGGCAAATTTGATGACATAGTATTCACGCTTTATGGTGAGAGAAAGAAGACAGTTTTCATGCAACTCAAGCATAAAAGAAAAACTGAAAAGAAGATAACAAAGGAACAACTACTTCAGGTAATAGGAAAAGGAGACTTCAGTTTGCCCAAGTATTGTGCATCATACTGCCAGATAAAGAAAAATTGGGGAAAAAATAAAGATTTGGAATTCTGTGGCAGTATCGAAGATTCTGCATTTATTATATATACAAACGCAGAAATGTCTGATATTCCTCGAGGTAGCAGTGACTGCAGTTCTGGGTGGCCAGTATTTGTCAAATCTGAAGGGCAGTGTTTCAGATTGACTAAAGACGTTCACAAAGTCTTTTACGATTTCTTTGAAAACTTGCCTATATACAAGGACTTAGTAAATGAAGCAATTAACAGTGAGGAATTCTCAAAGACAGAAGAACTGCTGAAAGTTGTTAAGACACTCTGGAACAATAGCAACATGACAACACCACCGAAGCGAGAGCTTATAAAGTTATGGAATGAGATGCAGAAATTTGGGGATAAGGCAGATTGTATAGAATTTCTGTCTAAGCTGTGGTTCTTCACTGGACAAGCATCTGGAAATGACCTGAATCACCTTATAAAGAAGGAAATTGAAACCTCATGTGGATCTTGTGAATATCAGGAAAATTTCATGGAAAGTATTAAAAAGTGGTGGTTAAATGCAAATTCTTTCCTCACGGAATCATCAGAATTTTGGGAACAATTCCTTCTGTCACATGTTGACAACATATCTGAGAAGAAATTAAAAGAACTAGAGAAATTAAATATGAGATTTCAAGAAGAACAATTGATGGCTGTTATAACTCAGACACCTGTGACAATCATTGTTACTGATGGATCAGTTGGCAGTTTGGTTCTCAGTTGCTTGAAAATTCATCAGAGACTCTCTGACAGGGTCCATATTATGACAGATGTCAGAACCTTGGAGACGCACAAGAGCAAGGCACTGACACTGTGGGGAAGAGGCACACATTGCAACATACTTGTAGTGGAAGATGCATCAGATTGTGTGGATGTTGATGACATTGTTGCTGGGGTTATTAAGATACTGAAATCAAGTGCAGAGAAGAAACTGGTGCTTGTATCTGGGGGCAGAAGCCCTCTGGCCCGCAAACTTAGGAAACAGATTCCATGCACAAAACATAAAGATATCTTCAAATTTAGTCAATTGGATGAGGAGTCACAACTGACAGTTCTACAACACAACGTCAATTTCCAAGGCTGTGATGTGAGTCTGCAGACACTGACTGGAGATAATTGCACTGAAATACAGGATGCACTAAGCGCTGACACTGTGACACAGCTTCTGTCAGGAAGTGACACGATTAAGGTAGGTGAACCAGTGGCATCTCAGGATCCCTTCTATATTTCTCGTACACTGTGTCATAAGGACCGAATTTCAATGGATGTGCTACAATTTGTAAGCCAACCTGGGCAATTAGCTGTGAGTGGTATGTCTGCAAGGGAACTACAGGGCAAAGTCCCCCAAGGTAAGAAAGTTAAGAAATTTGATGAACTTCATGAACATGGGAAGGACCCTGAGAATTCAGCTGCAAGCGATGCATTTCAAGAGAGACAGATAATGGATCCATCTGGTAGTACATTTCAGGCATCTGATGATGCCATTCAAGAAAGAGAGATTAAGTGTTACATCTATGTGATAGACAATGAACATGACTTTAAGAGTCTTTGTAAGAAACATGGAAACATTCATTGGCTACACAGGGAGGGGAATTATTTTGTGTGGAGAGGGTCTGAGGGGGACATGACCCTTCTAAGGAATCATGTTTTAGATGGCACCTTGTACAGTGATGTAAACAAAATTATGCAATTGCCCCAACAGGTGGTACTTCTTATTTCTGAGCCAGGGATGGGGAAATCCACTGAGCTCTTACATTTGGCCTCAGTAATAAAAGAGGCTGAGCAAAGCACATGTGTGGTGAGGATCAACCTGAATGATCACACGGATTACCTGAGGCAGAATCAACCCAGTGCTGTTGAGCTGCTCTGTAGAGCTGGTCGGTTTGACACGCAATTCCAGAAATCCCTCCTTCAACACAAATTACTCCATGCAGAGAATACCGTACTTCTGTTTGATGGCTTTGATGAGATAAGCCCAACTTATTCAGATAAAGTGTTGAGCATAGTGACGGAACTGAGGGACGTTAATGTCAGGAAGATGTGGATAACATCTCGTCCTGTCATGGGGGGAAAACTAGAAAATCAGTTTTCTGCTTTGTCATTTGCATTGAAACCTTTCTCTGAAGAAGACAAGGTGACATTTGTTCATAAATTTTGGGAGATAGAATATGGTGAAGAATTAGGAACATTCATCAGGAAACTTCTGGAACTCACTGGGACTTCTGTAAAAGGCTCGTTGGGGAAGTTTGCTGACATTCCATTGCACACCATGATGTTGGCTGAGGTGTTCAAACCTCAGGCCTTGCATTACAATGAGACAGGTGAAGACAAATTGCCTAACAAGCTGAACTTGCTTGAGCTTTATGAAGGGTTTAGAGACAGAAAGTGGGAGATTTATCAAATGTACAAACTTGGAATAGATACATCAAAGCCTGCAGTGTCACGTATGAATGAATTCTTCAAAAATATGTTCATTCAAAATCATATGGAATGTGCACTCATAACTTTACTGGGACACAAAGAAGTAAGCAAACTCAGTAACAAAGGCAGTAATATAAGCAAAAGCGTAAAAGAGTTCCTAGATGAGTTTAAACTTGGTGAAGTGTGTCAAGGATTTATTGTTGATGTCATAAATAAAAGGGCTATATTCATACATGGAACATTTGTGGAGTTCTTCGTTGCAGAATGGCTGAGTCTGAACTACAAGGAAAATTCACAGTTTGCACAAGATATTATTCTTGCTCCAAAGTATGAATTAATGAGACATTTCTTCAATAGAATTATGGCAAAGGGTTCTAACTTTCACAATGCCATATTAAACCAAGAAATAGAAACTGTTGAGTGTCTGTTATCACAATGCAGTTCTGTTCTTCACGATACCGACAGAGGTGGAAGAATGGCCCTTCATCTGGCTGTGATGTCTTACCCTGAAGGAGGCTGTAGTGAGGCTGGAGACCATATTGTACAGATTCTGTTAGAGCATAAAGCAGACCACAGTGTCAAGGACGAAATGTTCCACTTGAGTCCACTTTCCTTAGCTGAGAGGTTGGGGGTCTGGTCAGCTGTGAACCTACTTCTCCAGCATAATGCTGACAAAAGTGATCTCATTCTTACTAAGAACAATTCTGATAATGATAAATATGTTCAGATTCTTCTAAAAGAAGCAACCTCAGGAGGTTTTTTAGAGGTTTTGAAGTTTGTGTTTGAGGAATGTGGAATAGATATAAACTACAGGCTGAAGGCTGTAGACAGTCAGGGATACAGAACAACATGGACACCTCTAATGTGGGCTGTTGCTCACTGTAATGCTGAGAGTGTCAGATTCTTATTGGATAAAGATGTAGAGATTGATGCAAGAGATAATACTGGCTGCACTGCACTATACCTGGCTTGTCAGAAAATCTCTAAGCTATCTTGAATATTGCTCATCAGTTGCTTAAGTATTAAAGGCATTTGGTGTTTACTAATAAAAACTGCTGGTTGCCATCACAAAAACGAACTTTTCTTATTGATTATTTTGCAACAAATTTTGGCCAAGATATACCATCATCAAGTGAATCTTGAGGAAATACAAAAATGGTGACAAGCTACATATAAATTATAGGGCTAGTATAAATCATATATTTTGTATATAAACAACAAACAAATATTTATACTAGTCCTGGATCTGACTTCACCATCCGCAGCAACTGTGCTCCCACTGGCGTTCATGGCCTGTTAATATCATCTGTGGAGTACAAAACATGTAAGGCTGTTGTTCTGTATGTGTGTTCATATACTCTTATATTTGTACCCTTTCATAGTATCTGCAAAGTTCCAGATTTAGTTGTAAGGATGGAGAAATATTTCATGCTTTGCATGAGTCCCTCCGGGTAACTCCCCTGATGGAACACCAACTGGAACCATGGTCAATTCTGTTCGCATATTCCCCAATTTTGTATTCATTAATGCTACGAGTTAGCAAACTATATCATTTCGCCATGTCTTCAATCAAGTTAGATTGGTTCAGAATTTCAGTGCTTGTTGAACATTATTTTGCATGTGATCTCTTGTTTCTAAATTTGTTTTTCTCTCTCAAACAAAAACATCAACAGAATTTGATTGTGGACAGAAAGTGTGAAATCAGGAAGCCACAGAACCATAGAATATGTAAAATGTCGCATCAAGGATATGGAATTGGCATCTCAGAAGAATCTTACAACTAACCAAGAATCTGTCTGGATATTCTGAATATTAGAGGAGGCAGCAACAGTGTGGAGTAACACAACAAATGATTCAGGTTAATCGGAAAAAGTTATAACGTGTATATATATATATATGTGTGTGTGTGTGTGTGTGTATTATATAATGTGTTAGGGTGCTCAGAAGCAGGAACAGTGGAGCCAGAGGAGACGACCATTGCTAGGAAATGGATGGGTAAATACGCCTGCAACAATGCGGGTATTGTTACAAGCGGTGTTTTCTGTGTGGTCCGCGCCGTGAACTTTGCTATACAAACTGCACCTTTTGTAAGGGCTCACGTGGCATGATATACAAACCGAGTTCCATGTATTCAAATAACATTTCTACTATTACCATAACAATATTGGGGGCACGCGGTAGCGTAGTTTGTTGATGCACTATGCTACAAACCTGGGCCGCACCATAGCTCAAGCAGTTAGTCGCTGGCTTCCCATCGCGGCGGCCCGGGTTCGATCCCGGGGTCTGGTCAAGTGGGATTTGTGGTGGACAAAGTGGCGCTGGGCCGGGTTTTCTCCGAGTACTTCGGTTTCCCCTGCCAATCTTCATTCCACCAAATTCTCCATCATCATAATGACAATAGGCCAATCAGTGACCGCCGTGCCGAATATACCTAGTTGGACTCCACCCCCCCCATTAAATAGTTATGCCTCAGTAATCTAGAATGTAATGTTGGTATTAATGACGGAAAGATTTTCGTAACGGAAGCAGTTAGCAGTTGAGGCGGTCTGAGTGCTCATATGATATACATACCAAATATCGTAAGTTTGGGTTAAACATTAAAAAGTTGTTAGGGTGATATACATACAGAAATACAGACAGCAAGTTTATTGTATGTAAGATTTGAGGCTTTTACGGCGGTGACTATGAAGAAAGCAGTCTTCTGGGATTTGGCACCGTGTATATGTGGTGTTAACCGACGTTTCGGAGGAACGTATCGCCTCCATCTTCAGGGTAGAAGGAAAAAAATATAAGAAATCTGCAAGCAAAGAGACCGTGAGTCTCACACCACATATACACGGTGCCAAATCCCAGAAGACTGCTTTCTTCAAGTTTATTGTATGTCTTATTTTCTCGAAACAAGGAAAGTAGGCTAAGAAACCTATAGGAAGGATACTATTTCATCAGTCTCCCGCTAGATAGCAGAAGCATACTCATTTGGTTGCGATTTTAGACAGTTATATTTGGGATAAATGGGAGTTAGGCTTTCCCCATCGTCCGGTGTTCTATAAAAATCTAGAGAATAAAACGTTTCGGAAACTTGATCTGTTTCCGTCCTCAGGTAATGGGGGAGACACTCTGTTGTTTCCCATAGGAAGTGCTAAACGTAATCAATGCACCAGTGATTATTATACATCACCGTTAAAACACTGTAGAATCTATAGTGTGGGTACATTTGGGATTGAAATGTTGGCGTTTCACCCACGTGATGACGACGTAAAACGGGAATGATGGCCTCCTATTCGAATCGCTAATACCACAACGCGTTTGTGTTTCTGTTGAGGAAAAGAAGACCGGTGCATTGCTGCGTCAGTGGTAAGTTTATTATAATTTGTTTAACGTTGCTGATTGCGAGTAGAATTGGATATAACATTTGTTCTGCCAGATAATCAGGAAACGTGAGCGTGTAAGATGGCATGTTGCATTATTATGCCATTAGGCAGTTAAAATGAGTAGATTGAAGCATCAAGAAATCCATTGCTCAATCATTCTACTAATACTAACCAGTATCAGGTTTATAACTTTTCAGATTTGCTTTGGAATATGCCTTGTTTAACATTTTTTCACACGTATTAATATGTGTAATAAGAACATTGGGACTGACACAAAATGGGGCACATCAGCTGGTGACCTCTATTGGTGATGTAAATCTGCTGGGAGATAGCATAAATACAATAAAGAAGACAGAAACTTTAATTGACACTAGTAAGGAGGTTGGCCTAGAAATAAAGACAAGTAAAAACAAATATATGTTGTCTCATTACCAGATTGCAGGGCAAAATCATGACACAACGATAACTAACGGAGTCTTTGAAAATGTAGCCAAGTTCGAATATTTGGGAACGACAGTAACAAATCAAAGTTTTGATTCAGGCAGGAATGAAGAAGAGATTGAAGAACAGACTGAGGGTGTTTGAGGGGAGAGTGCTGAGGGTAATATTTGGACCAAACAGTGATGAAGTGACAGGAGGTTGGAGGAAACTGCATAATGAGGAGCTTCATAACTTGTACTCTTCGCCAAGTATAATTAGAACGATCAAGTCAGGGAGGTTGAGATGAGCAGGTTATGTAGCACAAATGGGGAGAAGATGAATGCATATAGAATATTGGTGGGATAGTCACAAGGAAAGAGATCACTAGGAAGACCAAGATCTAGGTGGGTGGATAATATTAAAATGGATCTTAGAGAAATAGAATGGCGTTGTGTGAACTGGATTGATCTGCTCAGGATAGGGATCAGTGGGAGGCTCTTGTGAGGATGGTAGTAAACATTCGGGTTCCATAAAATTTTTGGAAGTTCTTGAGTAAGTGCGTGACTGGCAGCTTCTCAAGAAGGGTTTTGCTCCATGAAGTTAATTAGTTAATAAGATCATCACATTGTCACGGCCAGTTGGAATAGAATTTGGGCATATTGATCGATATTGTTAAATGACTGTTGTTTGTGATTTGAATTTAAAAGAGCGTTTATGCGCTCTCCCTTACAAATTGTGTCAGCCAGGCCTGTCTGTAGAATGGTATACATTTCTAAAAAACTTTTCAATGCCAATGATAGTTGAGGGTGGCCGATGACAGTTGATAAGTATAGTTTTTTACTCTTTCTCTTTTTCGAAGCTATTTGCATTTGTTTCCCTGTGAACTGCATAAACTCCAATATAGGAAGGCAAGTCAGTGGTGGAGGAAGAGGAGATTCTTGCAGTCTTGCAGCAGAGTGGCAATGGTACCGGTTACCTTCCTCTTCTGTGTCCTGCCCATTTGGCTGCTGTACTGAGAGCTATCTCTCTCTCAGCTTTCGTGATATTATTCAGGAACACTCGGTATGGAAGTATCCACGTGCTTCACAAAAAGAAACGTGAGCGATAACTTCTGCTGATTTTACATGAAGGCTGCACAAAACAGGTGTGAGCCTCTTCCTTTCGCTTGTCAAGACCGAAAGCCAGAAAATGAAAAACTCACACTGCAGTAGTGTACCACTGTCACTACAACAAAGCTGTATTACATATTTAAGGTAAAGCCATCGCTGTCCATAATTTGTTTCCACACCATAAAAATATATGGGGGAGTGGAAGAACTATGTATATTTAACCTATCCAATGAATGATGGTTAGAAGTCAGATTAAGTTCTTGGACGCAATCAAATCTTGGTATCCATTGGATAGTAAGTTGGTTGGGCCCTTGAGCCAGTCTGGGTGCTGTTGAGATAATATCTCATTCCTTGCCATGATTTGAATCTCAGTTCTTTGATGGCCAGCTGTAAGCTAGCTCAGATACGCCAGAAGCTATCCTGGCTCCGTGTATAACACATGCTTATACTTACTTACTTACTCATGGAGCTGAGCCCTCTAGGAGGAGCCGCCAATTCTGCAGCTACTCAAGAATTTGCAAGCATTTTATGGAACCCGAAGGTTCATTACCATGTTCACAAGGGCCCTCCACTGGCCCATAGCCAGGTCAATCCAGTCCATACCATCCCATCCTATCTCTCTAAGATCCCACCTACGCCTTGGTCTTCCCAGTGGTCTCTTTCCTTCTGGCTTTCCCACCAATATCCTATATGCATTAACGCATGCTTATATAGTTCTATAAAATGTATATATCTGCTGTGAATTGCGCCTTATGTAAAAGAAGAGGAAGTTGGGTAATTACACATTGCATTTTATTAAACAAAGTCAGGAGAATCATTTATTAACTTCATGGCCTGTTGAGTACAGCGCGATGTTGTCAAAAGGATGCGATATTAGCAATGCCATAACCGTTTGTGGAACGCCACTTGGAGGGGCGCGCACTTGGCGGCTGTTAACTTGTTTTTAACGCTTTCCACCCCACGAGTAAAAATCAGCTCCCCTTCGAAACTGCCTGCCAGTACCCTGAGGAGGTATCTTAAGCGTATTTTGTCCTGCAAGTTTAACTGGCCGTTTGCCTCCCCAACTGGAGAACACAGCCCCAGCTGAAGATGGGTCCCACTTCTTAGATGCAAGAAAGACGTTACGGTAGCCTCCTCGTTTGCTCCAAAAGTCGGATAATAACCCTGGACTGTCCGGTCTGTGCATGCTTCCCAGAATGGTGAACAGCGATGCGGGGGCGTGACTGCGCTTGCCCCCCCAAGGGCTGAACGCTTTGCCCACTCTGTTCTTTCCGTTCTCAGGTCGCACTGAACGCTTCGTGACGAAGCTTGCGAACTCGGCGCTGTCGAACTCACGACCGTCTACTGCATTCTGCCCACTTAGCTCTGTATTTTGGTTCTTCTGTTTCCTCTCTTCCGACTCAGAGGTCGCCATATTTCCCTCAGAATATCCGTTGTCTTCGTTATTGTTGTCAGTCCTTAACTGAATTTTATCATCAAGAAGTCTCTGGTGCCTTTCCGCCGACGAGGATTGTGCATTGGCGTCTTTTATTTCTCTTTCGTCCGATTCGCGTGAATCTTCGTTTTCGTTGGAGTGGACAGTACCGTTTCCTGAGTGATTTTCCTCAAGTTCTTCAGATTTTGCCATGCTTCTCTTTCCATCCCAACTTGAGACATGTCTCTTCTCGTGTCCATTGCCATCAATGAACTTCTTTGTGTCCCAGACAGATAACAGAGCTCCTCTTTCAGTAACTTCAGGTTTACGTTCCCATTCAGGTATTTCGGCTTCTCCCTTATAGTCCAAACTACTAAATGGAGGTCCTGTCTTCACATCCCAGTTACTGGACGCCAGATTCTTTTTCCCACCCCAAGAACTGAATGCAGCTTTCCTCTTTCCACCCCAAGGCTTGAAAGCTGAGTCCCGTTTGCCGCCCCAACTATAGAATGCCGGGCCCCGTTTCCCACCCTCGTCACTAAAGGCGCTATCTCGCTTGCTCCCCGAAGCGCCGAATGCAGGTGCTGCCTGGTAGTTTTTTCCTGAAATACTAAATTCTGGGTAGTGCTGACTAGCCAAACTGTTAACTGCAGGGTCGCCATTACCGCTCGAAATACTGAATGCTATGTCTCTTTCTGGTTCCGTTTTACTGTCCAAAATGTCAAATGTCTTTCCATCCCTGCTGGTCAGGATAATAAAAGCTGGAGGATCTCTTTTTCCCCCCCAACTGCTGAAAGCAGGAAGTCGTTTGCTGCCCAAAGTAGTGAAGGCTGGCACTGTAAGCGGGACGTCTGTCGTCCCTCCCCAGCTACGTTCTTTGCTCAGAAGAGGAAACGATATTGACCTCTTGCCGCCCCAGCTGTGAAAACCTGGGACTCGCTTCCCGCCCCAGCTGCTGAAAGCCCGACGTCTGGCAGTTCCCAGGATGCTGAAGGGAGTGGCCTTCTTACTCCAGCGGACACCGGAGTTATGTTTCGGGACCTCCTGTGCTACTTCTGCTTGCGCACCTTCTGTAGATAAAAGTACCAGCAAGATATTTATAATCTAAGTGCATGGGGAAACCCACCCCCTCTAATAATAATAATAATAATAATAATAATAATAATAATAATAATAATAAAGATATTTGTAAACTGGAATTTACTCGGAAATGAATTATCGAATAAATACTGAAAACCCATGAACGAAAATCAGGTTTCAGTTTTCATCATTATCATTACAAATGCATTCATATAAGCAACTGTGAGGAAATTAATACATCTTTTTGGAATTTTCTTGAAGGGACTGAGGAATAGTCCGAAAACCTCAATTAGCCACAATTCGGACAGAGCCCCTTCAGAACAGAAGTGTACAGTGTTACGGCTGGACCATTCTGTTAGGTCAGACGTGGAACACAGACATAGTTGGACAGGTTTTACAATATGTCTCTGTTCTACATTTCATGCATATTTCGAAGCGATGAGGTGCTTTAGAGAAGACATTAGATTTAATCTTGCTGTTTAGACATAAAGTAACATGTTTCACCGATGCAAACAAATCAGACTTTCCGAACAAATTTCAATGTGAACCTCTAACTGCAAATTTAATCCGTTCAGTGATGAAATATTTAAGTGTAAAGGCGCGTCCACATGACTCGTGCTCATGTGACTCGCTATGCTCACGAGTAATGTGGACGATATGACAAGTTAGGAGACAAGCAAATTTAAAATTTTTAATTTAAAAACTATAGCCAATAAATTAAAATACGACTACAGCCTATACACACTACGAGTAAATATACGGATCCTCACGCGCCGAAGCCTGGCGTGCAACTGAAATAGTGTGGACGAAGATTCACGAGCACAAGTAAAAGCCAGACGAGTCTCCCGACGAGCACAAGCCTAGCGAGCACGAGCACGAGTAATGTGGACTCGCCTTAAGAGGAATGCATGTCCTAGTCACTTCAGCGAACTTTGAGTTTGTATCTTGGGACTGAAGATACCGCTGCGCCTTGTGCAAACTGATAACATTCAAGGCTAGGTTATCAATTACTTCGAGAGCTCGTGTCAATAGGATACAACAAGAAGAGAGTGAACAAAGTTCTTGATAAGTAGGTACATACTACTTGATACCCTTAACGTGGTGTTAATACAATCAAATCTATGAGGATGAGATTGGCGTGGGAGGTGTATGGGGGGAGAAGAGGCATGTATAGAATGTTTTCGTTGGAAGATCTGAAGTGAAGACATCACACGGGAGACCCAGACGTAGTGGAGATGTCATTAGCGCGGATCCTCGCTCAGGATGGAGACCAGAGGCAGGGGCTCTACACTCATGAATGTGGGAAGTTTGTTCGGCGACCGTCAGCTTTCCTAGGAGTTACTTGTGTGATGTGTACTGGTTACACAGTTTCTATCTTCATCCGCTGCCCTCAGCGTGACCTCCTAGGGCAGTGTGCACTGTTTGCTTACCTGCCTCCGTCTGGACTCGTCCGTCACTTCCTCTGTGCTGTTGGTGGGCTGTTTCCTGAAACACAACAAGCAACACAGTAGTGTAGAGCTGCTTGCAGTGTAGTAGGAACTGCGCATGCGCAAGCGGCAAGCGTGTCCCTGTCCTCAGTTAAGCATCATGCCATGAAAGTGAATAGGGGTTGGAGGTACAGCTCAACGCGCTCTTTACGTCGGAAGTAGATTTAGGTGTTCGGTACACTTCACACCCCGGCCGCCTTACCTCTAGAGCAGAAGCTCTCAGTTCGGTGGGTCGCAGAGCTGGCCTGAGGAGGCTGTCGAGAAGAGAAAAATCCCCTGTCCCCTCCTGGAAGGTATCCGTGGGTGCTCAGACGTCCAACTCGTAGCCTAGTCACTCTACTGACTGAGCTATCCCGGCTCCTGGGAACTTCCGCATGGATGATTAACTGGCATGTCTAGAAACTGTTCCGATATTTCGAAGTGGGTGTTATTCGTGTGTAGCATATACGTACACAGTATTCAGGCTGTTGGGCGTTGAATGATTGGATGATAATGAATAGCGGATTGGAAAGGACGTGGCAGGACCGAACAGACTGTCACAATGGTTACGCCCTAGACTCTTATTCTGGAGGTACTCGGTTAAAATCTCGGCGGCACCAGCTGTCAGAGTGAGGTTTCTGGTGTTTTTCAAAGAAAATATCACTGAACAAATATGCAGGTACACCTCCTTTAATTTAATATTACCTCACGTTGAAAAACTCGCAGTATATTGTCACGTGGTATGTGTGACTAAGACGGCGTTTGGATTGGTGAAGAGATTTATTTACCATTTATGCACACCACTCGCAATTATAAGTAATTATAACGTTACGGCTAATTTTTACAATTTAAAAATCACCAGAACACCCGCTAAGCTTTTTTCAGTTTGCTGTCTTTTCACCAGACTTTTCCTGGCAACGGCTTCTAACAGTGAAGATTCTTCAGCTTCACGCGCTCACGCCACTCTCGACTGGCCACCGTTTCACAACTCAACTCACTCTCTGACTACCAACTGATTTATAACATCTCAGCACGAAACATTCAGAAACCCCCTGTTTCCATTGTTATAGAGGCGTGTTTACCTCGCCGTTGTGTAGCAAAAGTCGTAACGCAGGCTACAGAAACCACAGATCTTCTAGTGTTTCTTGCGTGACTATTGCGGGCGTTACCTAGCAAAGACCGCTATTTACAGAGTCACCGCTAAGCAACGGGTGTATACCCCACAATATTGAACAGTTGCCGGTGTGCAGTGAAGTTTTGGGTGGTAGGTTGTGTGAGTACAGAGTTCGTAAAACCGAAGTAAACATGTAACAGAAACTTTTCTTCAGTTCACCGCTTTCTCTTTTATGTTGGTTAACCCGAAGAAATCGTCCGCCTGTCCCGGCCTCTTTCTTCAAAACGGCGCTTCGTATGTAAATTAATGAAGACAACGGGCGAACCTCTCGGAAAGGAAACCGCAGGGAATTTGTTAACTGTGCTGGCTGGTACATAAACAAAGCGTGTTTTACAGTAACCATGGCGGGGTGATGCGTTTGCATTAGAATGTGGCGCGATGCAAGACGAAAATATTTCTGAAATCGAAATGCAAGTGTTTCTAAACGGGAATGCTACAAATTCATTTGCCCTGAAAATAACGACCGCAATTTAGGCCGAAACGTTAGAATAACTTCAACACACGACGCGGTTGAACTCCGAAAGTGGCCAATACCGGAGGAAGCGAATACTTTACGCTTCAGTCATTGAGTTGGTCTCACCTGTCTGTCCTCTGTCCTCTTGCCGTGCGCATGCTCCAGGTGACTGCCAGACGCTCTGATGTCTGGCGTCGTCGCGTCCTCACGGTCTGCACTCAGCCCTGCGGGGGAAGCCCCTGAGCTGTGGACAGCAGACAGAACTATTTAGATGGATCCACTGGATGTCGCTTCGATCAGACTCGGCATTTCCACAGCACTGTTAGTCTCCTGCCTTGCAGACAGGAGTGTCATGCCGCCTCTATTTTTGTCCTGAAGATGGAGGCAGGGCACAACATGTCATCCTACACGCACACAATCTAAAATATATAAACACATCGACAGAACTTGAAGCTTGCTTAATGAAATGGCTACAAATTATTATCACAGAAATAATCCTTGTCTGTTTAAGGGCACTGTCAGTAAATCAATATCATATCATCATTATCATTATGGGCCAAACAGCCATTTTGATCCATATCCTCGCATAGAAGATTCTGTTAGGTTTGTCTTGAACTTGACCAGGAGGTTTTCACTTCTTTGGATTTTGCAATAATTTTTATACAGAGCAAGGTCATCAGCCTTGCGTCCAACCCCCACCCTGGAGGATCAGTTCCCTGTATTTATGTCCCTCAGTGAGAGGGTAGCCCAGTTATACCCCCAGGCACCGGGACCCCTTATCGTCGCCTCCTATGACTCGCAGGGCTACGGTGGAGGTGTTCGATCCTGCCTCCACACAGGAGGCATCTAACAATTGGGTGATAGGGGAAAACGAAATGGAGAAGGTGTGCAAGGAAGTCCTAGAGGCCGGCTACCAGGTGCCACACGTGCATCTGCCTGGAGAGACTGAGGAAGAGCACATAATACCACAACAGGACGGGCCGGGGTCCCAGCCGAGCGCGTCCCGAAGTGTTGGTCGGTGCTGCGTCTGCGGGAAGTGGATCCCAACAGAGGACTCCAGGAACGTCGCAGGTTGTAAGGCGAAGTAGGAAGGAGGAGGGAAGCTAAAGCAGGGTATAACGGGGAGCAAGAGAATCGGTAGCCGTGTGCATGGCATGGAAGTGTCACTCAAGACATATGCTTCCGGTCCATGTTCAGCTCGCATCCTACATACGGGCGCCCTCCACGAGGTTCGTTCCCGTCATTTTATTCAAGCGAATATCAACCTTAAACTCATCAGAGGAGTACGGCCATTTTTCTGTACATTGCACCGCTATCACTGAATTGTATCCAAGCCAGCAATTTAACCAGCAGCAAGCCGCTTGCTTTACGCACGCTAATCGAGCCGGCTGACTTAGCGGTAAAGTTCTGGACTCGCATGCCGGAGGTGCTGGTTTCGAATCCCGCCCTGGTTTTCTGACTACGAATTTTGCTTGTTTTTTCTCAGTCTCTTCGGGCGAATTTTAGGATAGTGCCTCGTTAAGACTAAAACTGCTTCATTTCAAATCATTTCCAGTTCATTATTCAAGAAAACCTACCTTTCGAAGCCACGTCGTGAGAAACGATTTGTTTCATGGCGTGTCTCATGCCTTAATGATCTGTATTGCCCCGTAATGCGTTCCTTCGTCAGAAAGACGAGTTTTGGCAATGGCTATACACAACCAAAGAGAAAATAATGTTTCTAGAATCATGATCGAGGACGTGTCGAAATACTTGATGTGTGTATTTTGGCAGATCTGTCTTCAGAATCTGTTTCAATGCGCACACATGATCAGCAGACTGGCCGCATGGATAATCTGTTTCCCACGGTGCATTGTGCACGAGTAATCTGTTTATGCGGGGACAGGTTGCACACAGTCTGACGCATTAAACAGTTGACAGACGAAGGCCGTGGGCGACAACTGTTGTCCTGCCAGTTCGCTTCTTCTCTTCTGTGTTGTAAACATAATTTGATTTTTCGTCTTAGTAATTTACGAATTCCACCAGAAGAAATAAGATGGCGACTGATCATTGATTGCGCAGAAGTCAGGACTCTTGCGTACATTCTCTGTGTGTCGCTTACTTCGTCTAGATGTGTTTTAAACTAAAATTGAGAAAAGCTAATAAAGCTTAAGAGATTTACGGTTCTAGGTAATCGCGTATGAGAGACGGGAAACAATTGAAATCAACAGAAATGCCTCTTTCTGACTTCGTCTCCGAGTAGGTCGCAAGATATTGTGACGTGATGGTTGAAATCCCGAATGATACGATCGGAGCAGACGTCCATTGCTAAGCAACGGGTCGGAAATCACGTTCCAGCTGCAACGAATAGCAAGTTGGCTAGAAACAAGATTACCGTGACAACCAACAGAATAACAGAGGGCAATTAACTGTTCAACGTGTTGACTTCTAATCCTGCCGCGTGGCAGTTATAAAAGGGAGTTGATTCGTTAATTCGAAGCAGTGGGATATCAGTCACAGAGATTCTGCATAGAGACTCGTCAGGTAGACGCCGTTCAGAACAGTTCAATGTATGAGCTCTTATAATTGACTGTAATTGTAAAGAAGTGCCATTAAACCCAATCATCAAATCCAGAACCCAGTGTTATTAGTCACGTTCTTAAACATTACGCTGCACAGTTTGAAAGGGGAACAGTTTTGCAACATCCAAACTCAGCTGCTTTATCTTATAGCTTACTTATCGCACGTTATGAACAACGGGCGCTTGTTCCCGTCACTGCAGTCGTACTGTTTCAGTTCCAATGACTAAGTGCATTTAGAGATATATCGTTATCGTTTCGCGTACAATTACACACTTCAACTACTCAGCTGCCGGCTGAATGTCTCACTGCAAACTGCTCTACCTGCGTGCTAACTACACAGTCTGTAGTCTCTTGAATTCTGTCCATCGAACTCTTGTCTCACTCACACTTACGTCTGAGACTGAGTCTTATCTCGTGTTACTCTCGCTTCACTTCGTCACTGTCACACTCAGAGTCAGAGTCACTTTACGAGTGGCAGTTTACACCAATCACTTCATGGCGACAAGCCCCTCAAGACCCACGACAGGCATTTTTTTCGACAGAATACTTGCTTCCATAGTCCTTATATAACATTCTCTCTGACGAGAGGATGGGTCTGTAGTTTACAATTGCTGCTGGCCTTCGCCACCGCAATCATTCTCAGATCCGAGTCCCGCGGGACTCACGGCCAAATTTTACTTTCTCAAATTCGAGGCTCCCCAACATGAAGGGCTAGGTCCTCGTATTTATATCCCCCAGGAACAATGTGGCGCGGGTATACCCCCGGGCGATGGGTTCACTTCACTTCGTCTGAGTCTGGGTCTCATGTTACGACCGACGGTCAGTCGGCCAGTCTGTCTTGGAATAAGGCGCCCATCTGGGACTTACGAGAAGATTTGTATTACTGTCAGACAGTTACAGATTTGTTGATGTGGGGCGCTTTCTCTGACGAGGGGACGGGTCTGTCGTTTACAGTTGCTGCTGGTCCTCGCCAGCGCAGTCATTTTCGGGTCCGAGTCCCGTTGTACTCATGACCATATCTTACTGTCTCAGAATCGAGACTTCCCTTATCGTCGCCTCCTACGCCCCTCAGGGTTATGGTGGTGTTCGAACCCGGCCTCGCATACACTTCGTCTGGCAAACGCCTGTGTTTTATTACCTTCGGCAGACCGCGTAGAGAACACCTCATTCCAGGGTTCAGTTGCAAATGTTTGTTTATATGCACGTTGTCCCGGGTTGCCTCCAAAATTGGTACTTCCATGCCTGGCTTCATTATTCCGGCTTTTAGGCGGCATTTACCGAGTCGTTGCCCAGCAAAGGACCCTGCCCCCGACTCTACTATTACAATGTATATTTATATATAGTTTTCGTTGGTTGTCTCACGACGCGTTCAGTACCGCAGACTGCATAGCATCGAGTGATAAAATTATAGATTAATGAAGTGGAAAGGATCTGAAAGGAAATGGTCGTGATTGTGGTATTATCCCAGCATTTCCTTGGAGACTGAGGGAAACCACAAAAAGCCTCAGATATGATATACAGTGTCCCGGCCGAGATTCGAACACAGTCCTTCCAATAAGAGCCTACAGCGTTACGCCAGACCAGCTGTCCACAAATGGCTTCACTCTTTATCAAAATATATGTCATCATGTCACATGTCCCTCCCTCAGGAAAATCCAGGAACAGGCAACGACCCCAACTCGTGTCGTCACGCCTCAGCCTCACCTTGAGCTGCCGCTGTACCCGGTGCAGGGCGGCCGGCTGAATCCCAGAATCTCACACAGCCGTAGATCCCCGGTGACGCTCCACGTCGAGGGTTGAGTAGGCAGCAGGCAGTACCTCTGTAGCAGGCGGGTCAGCACGTGGTCCTGCAGCAGGGGCCGCGGTGAGACAGACAGACAATGTACAGGTTTACAAGCGCCTTGGCTTCCAAGACCGAAATAAGAGCGCTACAATTTTAGCCCGCGATTCTAAACGGTGAAATCAGGCTTCAGAATGTTTACTCCTCCACGACTGAACATCGAAACTAACAGACTAGGCACTGATAGAGTTTGCAACTATTTGGCTGAATTTCAAGGCCTGTCCGCTCTTCTCCCGCCTACAGTTCAAGACCTGGCATCAATTCATGGCCTGGCCACTGTTTATCCAAACCTGTGTTAGCCAAGGTGTGCACATCTCAGTGTCGCTGCTACCGTCCGCATTTCCTGAACCCTCCTGCACCACCTGTTCTCGTACCCTGCGGTCCTCCATGTCGTCGAAGTAGTCCATCAGGGCGATTCCTTTGTCGGCCGAGGTCCACCCGCGTAAGGGTCCGTGATCGAACTCCAGGAGCTTCTGCAGGTTGTATAACCGCCTGGCGAACGCGCGCGAAGTCTGCAGAAAGAGGGATGTATTGTGTGGTTGCATATTTTGGGAGTATCATAGGGGCCATGATAATAGTAACATGGCGTTGGATATTGGGGCCTGTGGTGCTATTTCTGTTGTTTCAGTTGCGGAACATGAAATGCAGTGCATCAGCAGTAAAGGCCATGCTGCAAACCAATGGAGAACCCGTTAAAATGTCAACGTTAAGTTGTTGTGTTTATCAAGCTCATATTTTTTCGACAAATGTGGACTCTTGACATACCGACTTAACGTACTTAACATTGCTCTCATATTCTGCTCCCACTCGTAACTACTCGCTAGAAACCCGTACATAAGGACATTACCGACGGCACTCTTAGATGCTACATCCGCCACTGCCGTCCCTGATCCTGCATAAGTGGTGACGTTTGGGGTCATGTCGTATGTAACTACGCATGCGCAGAACGTCACGAGTTTGATCACTTAGTGAGTGGTGCATAAATTATATAAAATGTGATGTTTTCAAGGCGGTATCTAAGTGCGGTCTTCTGGGTTGTGACACCGTGTAGTCTTGCAGGTGGATTTCAACTCTTCGGAGTAAGAAGCTACCTCAATCTGCAGGATGCAAGTCTCTTTGAACCCTGAAGAATGAGGCAGTATATTCTGTCGAATCATCGTCCTCCTGGAATAGTACACGGCGTCACGAGCCAGGAAACTGCAGTGTGACGAGAGAGATTATCTTGTGGCCTGCAGGTCACATCAGCTCCTCTCAGTAAATTGCTTACTTAACAGCCGTATAGTTTCAGTAAAGTAAATTTATGCCTCTGCTTAATTACTAATTAATTAAACACAAAGACATGCGGGCGTATGGGAGAATGAAAGTATAGCTCCATCACTCTTTACCACGGCACTAGATGCAGGTGAGTGGTCAGCTTCACGCACCGGCCGCATTACCCCAAGGAAAGATAGAAGACTGGGTGGGCTGTTTGGACGCTGTTCTTGCCACTGCATGAACCTCAGCTAAGTACCGAGAACTTTAGTGTAGCGGCATGCTTTCATTCAGAGTACTTGCTTCGAATCTCGGCGTAGTGTCTTGACTTATGGCACCTTCCAGATCCATACCGACTCACGTTTTATGCTTAACTTTCCATCGTATCTGCTGCTAGGGATCTTGCACATTCGTGACGAGAGGTTCCGGCAACCCCTCGGTCAGTCCGAACAAGCACTTAAACCTTTCCGTGCTGCTTCTTGTTGAGCTGATCTACTCCTGTTGGGTTTAACGCGGACCTTAGGGAACGCGGTAATTACAACCTAAAGTTTTTTTTTCTGTGCTTAATTAAGCTGTACGTCATGAAGACGCATGTTGCACTGGATACATAGCTCCAGGCATTCGGAATCTCGGCACTGGATGAAGATGAGCTGTCACTTTCCCTCCTCGGTTGTTTTACCCTGGATAAAAAGCCTCGACCTCTCTTAGAAAGGGAACTGTTTGGGCCCCAGATCCGGTCTGAACTCTGTGGACATGTTTCTTACCCCTGTCAGGAATGAAACCCCGATTTCCCGGTCGTCCAGTCTGACGACTATACTGATCATCGAATTTCATAAAACTCATGCAATTTATTGGGTAGCTGAGAGACTATCAGCTTCTCAGGACACATACCCTTCCATTGAATTAGCTTACTTCTTCTCATTGATATAAGAGGGAATTTTTCTTTCACCGATCAAACAAAAACAATATATATAGTTCGGTCTAGAAANATATAGAGAGAGAGAGAGAGAGAGAGAGAGAGTAACACGGAAAGGGTTAAACGGTTTAACCACCCTGTGGCTGTACTTTGTAATGTCGTTTTCTATATGTGAGTGCGGCCCTCCTACCTGGTCTGAAGCGGACTTGTCCTCCCTGTCGTCATGCTGACCGCTGTGTTGCGGCATCCGTTGCGCCCTGACACCTGTACGCAGGCTGCATGCAACAATCATGACGGCCAGAAGCAGCAGCAGCTGCCCTCTGACGAGCGGCATTCTGAAACAGATGAAGCAAGCGTCAAACATGGCAGCACGGTCGGTTATGGGCAAGAAACGGACAAATCTATATTTAATTTTGGGCGCGTTGCAAAATGCACTCATTAGCTTCGTATGCCCTCATGTAACAACTGGAGAACTGTTGAACGGATTTTCATGAAATTCGATACTGGCCAGATTTACAAATTTCTTCGTCGCCGTCGCCTTTGAAAAAATCAGAAAAATATAACGGACAATTTACACAAAGGCTTACGGGAAATTGTGCTTTATAATTACCTTCACAATTCTTGTGTGTCCGCTAAATTTCTGCCGGTCCTCGCCAGCACAGTCATTTTTGGTTTCGGGCTCCGCGGTGCCTATGACATTTTTCTGTGTCACGTTTCTCTTGGTATCTCTTTGTGATTTGAAGCTTTCACAAAGTATTTGTAGACCTAGAGTAATCAGCTGAAGTAGGAAAGGATGGGTGAGGCATATAGGACGCATGGAAATGTGAAATGCATGTAAAATTTCAGTCGGAAACCCAAAAGAGGCATATGTCTGGCTGGGAGGTTATGAGGGTGTGAAGTGGATTAATGTGGCTCAGGACAGGATCCAGTGGCGGGATCTTGTGGACATGTTAATGACAATTCGTGTTTCATAAAATGGGGGGAACAGCAGGGAGACTTATCAGCTTCTCGTAAATATCTATAACGCATGTGAGTTTACAGCATCGGAAGAGAGAGGGCGGTATGTGGAAGTGGTCATGGCCTGTTTTAAGGAGGAATCCGAAAAATAAGTTAGGATTGTTTAATTCGCAAGTGGCTCCACGGAAGTGCCCTGCGAAACCCGGGCGTTTCGTGATTGTTTCGCGAGTGATTGATTGCCGGGCCATTGTTCCATCAACTCCTCACTGGTTCCAGGATGCGTATTTTTAAACCGTAGTACACAACCAGATGTAGCCAGTAAATTGACCTATTCATTCATTACGCCTCAAATTCTCGCTACTTTCCTGTGTTTCCCAACAAGTGTTGGTTCCCAGACGTTTCTACAAATGAATTCCCAACCATTTTTCATCTGCATACACAAAGCAGCCTGCTGTAGCGGTAAATTTCTTGTGCATGTGTCAGTTACTTCAAGACGATGTCAGTGTAGCGCCTGATGAATGATTAATTGGATAGGATTTTGAAACAAAAGGACTTGACATAACACAGATTGTATTGCGGAATTTTCTTAGAGGGACTGAGTCAAAGGACGAGAAACCTCAGGATGGCTAATGTTCTGTCCGAGATTCGAACTAATAAATCCCTGAATATGAGTCTACCGCTACGCCAACCCGCTTCATGCGCCTATGACCTTATAGGGAGCGTGCGGCTAGAACAAGGGGTGCCTGTACCCCAGGGGCTAACTCAAACCTCTTCAGGATGTAAGCGAGGCATATTTAACACTGTCAAACGCAATAACTTCTTTTGTCAAAATTTTTGTGATGGAAGTAAATGCAGTTTGCTCCACTTGAGCTCCTCAGTTGGCACTTGAGTCCATCTCAGCGGCATTTTTCATAAATCCCTCCCCTCAGTCTGTGTGCCTGTACTCTTATGCTTCCTATTGTTGCTAGGCAACTCCTCGGTAAACACGTTCCCGCGGCAATGAATACACGCAAAAATAGAATAATTTTTGGGCTGGTATATATGTGGGCCTGTATGCATACCTCCCTATCAATTTGTAGGCAGGAATTCAGTAAAGAAATCCCCGCGGGGACAAAGAATTAATTATTGGAAGCGTCGTTTTCTACGCGGTCCGTGCCGTATCAAAGCAAAGTAGGCGATTGCTTCTTCCCTCTCATCATAACCAGTCGTCTGTCTCAGCAATGTTGGGAAGGGCGCCTAGTCGAACATTGGATGGATTATGAAGGTGGGCTGTGGCGTGTTTCTCTGATTGTATTGAACGAGACTTCACTGCGCATGTGCCGAGGCCTCGGCTTTCTCAGCAAAATGCGCGGTGCATTTTGACGATGGTAATGAGATAAGTTTTGTGGACTGTGTGAGGGGTGCATCATTCTTCCTGCTCCCACAATGTGGCTGCAACCACTGTTCCGCTTGCCGTATTTCTCACGCACAAACCAACAGCCAGATCTAAAATCAACCGATCTAAACATGTACAAACTTTATTTACATGCATTACATGCCTGAGGAAAACTATTTTTCTTTTTCCTTTTGTTACAAAAGTTGTAGGAGTCATTTAAAAGTTTGTGAAATACAGCCCAACTCTTAATGTCCAGCGCTTGACAGTTCCTATTGTATCCATGAATTTCGGCTCAGCGCTTGAACAGGGGCAGAGCTCTCTGGCAGAAATAATAACTGAACACACACCTCTTTCTCCAGCCTTCCCCTCTACCCAGTTCCGTCTCCATCATGACAAAGCAGGAGGTTAGCACAGCGGGTTAGTATCCAGATGGCACCTAACAAGATAGGCAGCCGGGATAACTCAGTGAGTACAGTGAACAGACTGGTGGCTGGACGACCGAGAGATCGGGATTCGATTTCTGCCAAAGGAAAGAAATGTTTCTCTACTACACAGTGTCCCGCGGTAGCGTAGTTGGTTGGGGGGCTATGCTACAAGCCGGAAGGTCGCGGGTTCAAGTCCCGATGAGGTCACATTATTTTTTCCAATTGACCTAATCCTTCCAGCCGCACTATGGCCCTGGGGTTCACTCAGCCTCTAACAGAAATTAACAGAAATTATTAAATAATTTTCCTGGGGAGTAAAGCGCGGCCGGCGCATAAGGCTGACAACCTTACCGCCATCTTTGAGCCTATTGTCTAGATAATGTGGGACCCTCAACGTCTCACAACCCTATGGGCCTTCACGGCCTGGTACAGGGATAGCTTTAATTTTTACTCCACAGTGTCCATACCGCGCTGGGGCCCATCAATCTTCCTATCCAGTGCACACCTGGATGCTCTTTTCCAGGAGGTAATACGGTCGGGCCGCGAGGCTGAATCCCCTTTCTGATTCAGTGTCGAGGGACGGTAAGCTTAGAGCTATGCGCCTACTCATTCTTACGTCCTCATGGCGAAGTACAGCTTTACAGTTTTATCCTTTACCTTGTCGGCAGCGAAATTTCCCCCCAGGTCGAGTGTCCTTGACTTGTACCCATTATTTCGGTTTGGCCGCCAAAGGCCCGGCCTGTTCCAGGATTCTCGCGCGCCTCTAGCGGATAGCGGACCACACATGGAGCAAGTATGGATACCGCGCGCCGACAAGCGGGGCTGATTTGTTGCCTTTCGCTTGATTTGTTTCAGTTCTTTCCCCGCCTTACCCTCCCCGTTGTTGCAGGTACTGGCCTGGGATCGAACCTGGGCCGCCGTTGGAACCCGGCGAATAACACTGAACTTCGGAGAGTATTGCGGTTCTGGTTTTATGGAATGTGACGCCTTCCAGTCTGGTAAATACTTACCAACGTTTCGGAGGAACCTTATACTCCCTTCTTCAGGGAATGAAGTGGAGACATTATGTTCTTACACAACGTTGGTTACCATCTACCACACTACACGGCGTCAGATCCGTGTGCGCTGCTTCGTATTTGCCTTTTGGTTCCACAACGTAGAATCAGGACGAAGGGTAAGGAGGGTCGGCACGTCTGTCTGTGAGCCGTTCCTTTCGTGTCTCTGCTAAGTAAGACGTGACAGACCGCATCTGGCCCGACATTACAGCAATAGCCTATCGACAGCTGAAGACAAGTGCATGCTGTTGTCTCTTAGAGCACGGCCCGCGCTATCGAAGGGAAGAACTTGCTATACTGGCGGGTTAGAATATCTCCACCACAGCCCTGCGAGTCGTACAAGTCGACTGGGTCATCCCGTCACTGGGGGATGTAAATACGGGGACTTGGTCCTCCAGGTTTGGACGCAAGGGTGGCGATTTTGCTGTGTGTAAATATTACTGTTACGAAATCTAAAGAAGTGAAAACCGGTTGCAATCTGGCAGAATCATCTAAGGAAGGCTGTGGCCCGAAAAGGGCTGTTCTGCCAGTGATGATGATGATGATGATGATAGTTTTGTTTATTTTAATTTATATTTAACGAGGAAAGACAGTATTTGATTTGAGTGCTGCTAGCATTTCGACGAATTTAATAATTTCTTAATTTTTTCTTCTCACTTGTTGCCGTTGTTCCCGAGCCTGTCTACACTTCCGGATGAAGTGGTGGCCTGTTGCCTGAACGTGCTCTACAAGAAGTTACCAAGTCGAGATACTACGATGACCGAGACTGCTAAGAAGTCCAGGAGGCCTCGTGTCTCTCGCGCAGAAGTCCAGAACGGTTTGGCTCCGCTAAAAGTCTCATAATTTGTGTCTCTGAAAGACAGGCCTGCTCGTGCTTTATGCACTGTGCTGGGGAGCTGTTATTGTGCGAGGCAGGAGTCATTGTTACTGAGCCACTCCGCAATTAGCTTAATTTTCTGTGCGCCCAAACTACTGCAACTCTCCTCATGACAATTGTCCATTAGGAAAGCGAACCTCCCCGCACTCAGTTACACGAACAGATGTCGAGGCCTTGACACCGTCCATATTTCCGCAACAGCACGCTCTGCTGGTAGGCACGGATAATTAGAAAGTATAAAACGGCTGAAGACGCTTTATTCGTGTCACAGTTGTTGAATTGCGGCAGTTCATTAAGTCCGCTGACACGTCGCGCGGCATTTGTTTTGTTCAGGCTTTCGGAATTACGGCACAGCCAGTTTTGATTAGTTGGACAGCGCACATCTGTCTCCATGTGATAATCCCGGGACTGCTTACGGTAATAATGATGTGCAGGACGGGATGCAGACCTTCCAGGGTGTTTCTTTTGTTTCCAGTGAGATATTGACCCCATTTCGATAGCTCAGTCCGTGTAACTGCTAGGCTGCGGTCTAGATGGTCGAGGTATCGGGGTTACATTCCCGGCAGGCCAGGCGTAAGGATATTTTTCTCTTCACAGCGTCCATATCGGCTCTGAGGCCAAACAAAAAACCATATATAACAGGTAC